AGGACCTCTGTGCCTGTACTGTCAGTGTTCAAAGTTGTATTTTGACTATTTCTCAGCGTTTCTCTCAGTTTTACTTTTCCGACATGTTTGCGAAATAACCCACCTCTTCTTGACCAGGCAGCGGATGACACACAGCGCATCGTGGATGGAGCGCTCTGCCTCCTCGATCACCAGTTTGTTGGAGCCCCGAACCACGATGCTCACCGTCTTGCCGGGGCTGGCACAGCCTGTGATCTGCGAGAAGCAAATGTTTACCAACGTGTCTCACATTCAGCTTCTCCCACTGGAGCCGTTTTTCTATTCTGGGTCCCAGTGTTTGGCTACAGTCTGTACATTAAGCATGATGAGTCATTGACCTGAAAACTGCTATAACAACAGGTCTGAATCGCCCAAACTCTCATTCCAAAGACTCAGACTGAAGCGTACCTTGACCAGCTTGCCGGACCCGTCCAGGCTGACCTCCTCCGCAAGCTCTGCTGTGCCGAGCATCTCTGGAGTGAAGTGGTCGATGTGGGCGATGGGCTTGGTGCCAAGAGTCTGGACGGGAAGGGACACTTTATTTTACTTTACTATCATACAATGGCCTTTATTTGCAAAGAAATAATTACATGAATGAATGAGAATGATCTTGAAAAGTCAAACAGTATAAAAACTAAAGAGAAAACAAAAATGTCATGGTCATCTAAGCCCAAATATTTCCTCATGAGCAGAGATGTCCACCTGTTTTTACTAAGTTTTTACTATTATTCAGCGGAGTGCACTATGCAGCTCCTTTCTAAAGTTTGATTTTCCCAATTGGAAGCAGTTGTTCTTTTATTAAAGCCAAACAGGCACTCAGGTTCACAGGGAGTGAGAACTGAGCTATGAGCCAAACTAAACTGATCAGCAGTGGTTCAGAGAGTGATGGAAGTAGGGCTGTGCAACACGGCTCATCATCTACAGCGGTAAAATGAAACACACATTAATGCAGACACATCAAATTTAATAGTAAAACAATCATGGGAAACATTACTAGTAAACGTAGCTATAATAATTGGATACTTTTACCTTATAAGGTTTAGAATACAGAACTTGTACTTGTAGTGGAGTATTATCAAAGTGAGGTTGGTATTAGTACTAGAAACAGACCTCTGGTTAACACTCCCACAGCCTCACTGCACCTGTGTGTGTGATGGAGTCTAGGGGGTTTGTTGTGATAGCAATTGTTAATTCAAGCATTTAAGTTTAGACATTTTTGGTGATTTTGCACTGTAAAATAAAAATAAATAAACGTGATTAAGCGCGTGAGTAAGCTTGGGTTGCAGTTTAATAGTTACCGAAAGGCTGTGTGTTGTGTTTGCTGATGGACGTGTCCTGTCATCTGTAGTTTCTGCTGTTCTGAGCAGAAACACAGTGCGGCTGCAGACATTTTAATGACACTCACCTTGCAGATGAACTCAATGTCCTCTCTCTCGATCTCCTTCACCACCATGATCTTCATTTTGTTGAGGAAGTGCAGGGCGAGGTCGCTCAGAGCGTCTCTGTCACAGGACAGTTTGTTGTTGGTATAAAAACATGTTTGCTATCCATCGCTCCAGTTTGAAGCACACGTACACCAGAATCTGTTCTCATGTTAGCTACCTGAGGATGGACTTCTGGATGAGCAGCACGTTGCAGCCAGCCTTCTTTATCTGTTTCACCATGTTGAGGATGTAAGCGCGCTCCTCCCGCAGCACTCTGTCCATCTGGGCGTAGTCTGACACCACGATCTGGTTGTCCATCTGCACACCAAAAACACAGACGGAAGTAAGAACCATGTCAGGAATTTTTCAATGCCAAGAGTAGCAAGAAATTGGGAATGCTTCTCCAGTTCAAGCAATAAAATATATAAACCTGCTGATTCCCTCTTCTCAGCCTCAAGTTCATCCACAGTTTGATTCTTTTTTGTTGTCTGTGCACAGCAAACACAAGTGCAACCAACTGACGACGACAGTCTGCCCCCGTGAACAGACAAACTGTTTAGTAAACACCAAGGATCTGGTCCTCCATCTGGACTGAGTTCTTACAATTAAGGGTATTAAATATCGGTTTATTCTGTCGTTATGTCTGTTTTTTTAAATGGGTTAGGATTTAAAATCATCTTTTATGCACGCGGCATAAGACGTATTGCCTTCATATGAGGTGCAACATTAAACACCATTAAAAGTAGCCAGAAAAGCTGCAATCTTTCCTCTGAGCTGATATTTATCAGGTGACTCACGTCAGTTTTGGGAGGGGACAGGCAGAACTGGATGAGGCCGATCTTGGCTTTTTCCACACGGGTCACGCTGCTATTGGCCAACCTCTGGTTCAGCACCAGGCCTTCAACCAGCTCACAGTCATCAATGGTCCCTCTTGAAACACAAGACGACACACAGAGGATGAATGCAGGTAGAAGTAGGTTTACAACCCCTTTGTAATTTCATTTTATATATAAAGGCAAATTAAATGCATCTCCACAACCAGTTCAAACAAACATTTTAAAAGCAGCTGCTGGAAATGACTTGTGATATGGAGCAGCTAGACTCACCCGAGCTTCTTGATGATTTTGATGTCGTGCAGGTCGACGCCTGTGGCGGTGGCCGGGTCGATGACTCGCATGACGGCGTCCACGCTCATGGGTGCCAGCAGGCTGGAGTACTGCGACACCACCTTGGAGCACAGTGAGGTGGTGGCGCTGTTGAGCAGCGTCTCGCGGTCGCTCAGCAGCACCGGCCGGCTCATGTCCGTCAGCACCTCCACACCTTTCTCCACGGCCTTCTGGAACGACTCCGAGATGATGGTGGGGTGGATACCTGGCCGGCGGGACAACATGTAAACACTAGCGCTGAATCAATTTAACCACAATAGTCAATTTGCAGAAAATGTGACTCTCATTGATCATACAAGTCATTTACAACGCTAAAATGTGGAACATTCTCTGGTTTCAGCTACTAACATCTGGTTATTTGCTTTTTCAGTTTTACATGATTTTAAATTAAATATCTTTGGACTGCCGGTCAAATATAATACATCAATTTGAGCTCTGTGAAATTGTAAATGTAATTTCCACTGTTGTCTACCATTTAACTGAATCTGCTCATGAGAGCATATATTTAAATCTTCTCATTTTCAAAATGCCACCTTCTGTTTCCGAGATAAGCGTTCACAATAACTGCAATCCGTTTTTAAATTTGGAGTCTGTTTTCTAAACTCTGCAGCTCTTACCTTTCTGCAGCAGTTTGTAGCAAGCATCCAGCAGCGCTCCGGCAATCACCACCACAGAGGTGGTGCCGTCACCAGCTTCAATGTCCTGGGCTTTGGATAGTTCCACCAGCTGAAACACACACATTGCAATCCAGGGGTTTAAAAACAACTTTGAGCCTAGTTTATGTCGTATATGAAACTAAAAATTCTGCATCCAAAACATGAACGTACCATTTTGGCTGCAGGGTGGAGCACCTGCATCTGCTTCAGGATGGTGGCACCATCGTTGGTGATGGTCACGTCACCTTTCTCATCCTGGATCTGAAACAAATAAAAAAGCACTTGCTTTAGAAAGCATATTTATGACCCAGGAGCTAAGTGAAGTTAGCCTGAAGCCAAAGTTTTTTTTACTGACCATCTTGTCCATGCCTTTGGGCCCCAGGCTTGTTCTGACGGCATCTGCAACAGCTGTCAAACAAGAAGGAGACAACGATCAACTCAACATCCACGTTCAACTAATTAATCTGACACAAAACAAAAGCTTTTTAATATTAAGATTGGTCTTGTTTTACTTAGTATACATAGAAAATGTTGCATGTTTCAGGATAGTAAAATGAACAAAGAACATAAATAATTCACAAGCAAAACCAAAATGCTGAAACTAAAAAAATCAGGCTGACAAAATCCAGTTTCCACGTTATCAACTAAATGTGATATTACTATAACACTAGTACAAACCTGCCTCATAAGAACTTCCCCTTTTAATTTAAATAAACATTTTAGCACTCAGTCTCCTGCATCGTTTCGTTTCTGGCCATATTTAGTATGCAGCCCTTTGGGCCACTGAGCTAGCTAATGCTGAGATTGTGTTGAGTCACGAGCATCTTGCAGGGATAGAAAACACCAGAACAAACTCTTGGGGTCTTGCATCACAATTTTTGGAAATTGTTGTCTGCTTACTACTTTAACGTTCACTTCAGCTACATTGGAACGTAGGTATCCCACATTTAAGGTGAAGTTTCATTAAAATAAGAGTGGTATCTTGTGCAGTCATATATGCCGAAATGAAAAGCTGATTCTCTTGAATTAATAAAGATCTCTTATATTTCGCAGCCACTTTGTCATGTGCTTTTATTGCGGGGTTGACTGTTAAATTGGCACTTTATTGAATTATATTTCGGACCAGGAAGATGAATAACGGTAACGTTACCCAGCCCATCCCAGCGCCATGACACAGTACCGAAAGGTGAAACCTTGGGAGGCTATTAACTGTTTAAAATATCTGTTAAGTATTTTAGTTTACCTTTGGCCGCAGAGATGTTACTGTACCGAATCTGGGCCGGCTTGTCGCGGTCCACATACGCCCCTCCTTTGTTGCCGCCTCGGTTTGAGGCTCTCAGTGCCGCCGTCGCTTCTGGCATCGCGACTTGATAATCGATGGTAAATGTTAAGATAAGTCTTTAGAACAAGAAGAGATGGACTCCGGAGCTGAAACACGGCGGTTCAGCGGCGGATGGACTCAGATTAAAGTATCTCCACCCGGTCCCAGTCAGAACCTTCCAGAGACACCGGCTGCTGCGTAGCGAAGAAGGACCCGGCTGTCAGACTACCCGGCGCTTGGGGATGACGTTTGCAGACATCATGCGTTGATCGCCGATGTGACAGAATGGATTCACGCTGATTTTTAAATGTAAAATATTTAAATGTGTGCCAACATTAAACACGAATGCGCTTATTTATGAAATGCTGGGTTGATGGAGTCTCTATTTCGTTGCTAAAGACGACATTTCTCTCATGACGTTGAGACAAACTGCTCTGGGTTGATTAGCTTTGTCTCCCTGTGGGCTGAAATAGCAGAGAAGAAGCATTTTGGACGAGCATGTTAGCAAGTAACTGAACCCTTTCTGTTTTCACTGACTTCATATCTTCGTGAATTAGCAATCTCTGTGTCCGGTAAGTTAGTGTTGACTGTTTGGCAGCGGCTCACTGTGATGTTTGTGATGAACTCGTTATGGTTATGGTTATCAGTGTTAGCTATGTTAGCTTAGCAGACAGCAGAGTCTGCAGACAAGTCATGCTTTAGCGGCTGTTTTGAGCCTCTGGGACACAACAGTGGTGTTCAGAGCTAATGATTATGTACACTGCATATTGCAAGAGTAGCTGTTTGTAATTCTAAGTTACTTACTTATGCCCAAAATTTAATGTTCACTTTTTTTATGGGAACTTGGACTTACAATATTTAGAGCTGGTCGATCTCAGAAATGTTCTGACGATAAAACCATTTCGTATCGATAATGATCAGGATACATGTCGAATCATTATTTCAAAGGTTGAATTTTTTGCTCCTGAGTGAAAGTTGAAGAAACCAGGTGGTTAATTGTGGCTTTCATAATCAGAATTGGGTTTATTGCCAGGTACATACGAGGAATCTGCCTTGGCATATAATGACGCTTAACAGTACACATGGACATAAATATAGAAAAAGTAAAGAGATTAAAATGTACAAGAATACAAAAATCAACAAATATAATGTGCAAAAATAAATAAATAATATTAAATGCAAGTCAGAACATTTTTACATGAACATATAACATGCATAAACATCTTTGACAAGGATCCCTCAAATTTGGTTGTTATTATAACTCTAATACCAAGATATGTACAGTTTGTTTAATTTATTTTCCAACTGTAAAAACAATCTTAATTTTATGTTTCACTGATACAGATGTTGTACAGATGTCTGCAAATGCAATTCATGAGTCTTAGGAAGTTATTTAACACACAAACCTCACCATGGACATTATTTACTGATAAATATCACCAGAACCTTTTGATTTAGATTTCAGGCGTACTTTTGTGTAATCAGTTGATTATTTATGACTAATTGACCGATTGTTTAGCATGCAAAAATATTAAAAATAATGACACTTGCACATCACATCACGGTTATCAAGTCTTAACACTTGTTTGATCAACAGTCTGAAAACCCAAACAGTTTTTATTTACCACAAAGATAATGAGAAACATTCTAATCCCTCCTATTTGGGAACCAGCTTTATTTATTTCCTTGGTCTGTTTGTTTTTTGAGAAATTATTTGACTGAAGAACTGTCATGAATGTGGGCTGATCACCTGTGTTTCCTAATGAATGTCTCTGCGCCTCCTGCAGTCTGGAGCCATGCTGCCGCTGAAGGAAAAGGATAAACCCATCGTCCAGAAGCTGCTGTCGGCCGGCTGCTGCGCTCGCTGCGTCCTCAGGTTCTGCTGTGTGAGCGTTCAGGCTGCCTACCGACGACCCCAACAGGTTAAACTCATCCTGATTGTAGCTGTCTACATTGGTACGATGTTTTAAAATGGCTGGTGTTCCCTTCTCTTAATACCAGTTACTGATCCATTATGCCTTGTGTCGTTGTTCATCTCACACAGGATACACTCAAGGAACTTCAAGCTTTCATCAGCAATACAGAGAACAGCAAATCCCAAGATGCAGCAGCAGAGTCCACAGAGGGAAACAACAAATCCCATGATGCAGCTGAATCAGAACCACCTGATGACCCACCGAGTAAAAGAGCTAAACTGGAGCCCAGTGTGCCGTCAGAGGAGGACACTGCTGCTTCTGTCAAACTGAAGGACGGAGAGTCGTGTGTGTGCGTGGTGTGTTTGGGGATCCTGCAGGAACTCTGTGGCACGACCCAGGCGGTAAAGGTGTGTGTCCCCGCAGTGAGTGCAGCGTCTGATTGGATCATGGCTCAGATGAACTCGATGTTTTGTTCTGTGTTCACAGATAGCGGAGGCTGTGAAGGCAGAAAAGTACGAGTTTGACACCCTGGTGCTGTCTGTCTCTCTGCCTGCTCAGCTGTGCGTCCGCGAGGTCAGTCTGTGTGTTTACGTTGTCATTTAATAACAACTAATGATCAACATTTATTTAATAAATCTGTTAATCGTCTTTTCAATTTATTGGTCCATCATTTAGTCTTTAAGATTTAGGAAAATCTTGAAGAATGAATGCAATCATGTGTTCCCAGAGCCCAATATGACATTTTCAGAATCATCATATTCTCACATTTGAGAAGCGAGTAGACAATTTAAAAAAAGAGGGCTACACAAAAAGCCTTGTACTTGTGAGCTGTGTTGTCAGACAATCAAATCCAGATAGCAAACATTGTTAATAAGGGTGAAAATGAAAAGACCCAACCAATAATATCAACCATTGGTTCCTTCTGAAGACATATCTTTAAAAACACCTCACAAGAAAATAGTTTCATTTTAAAAGGCTCAGTAATTTCCTTTAACAGCTGCTCACTGTAGTTTTTAGTAAACAAACAGAAGAGTGCATTTGTTGGGGACTATTTTCAACAGCGGATGAATCCACATGTGGTGCTCTAGTGAGTATTTGGGGGCAGCAGGACGGTGCATGTTGGACTGAGTCAGAATAAACTACAGTGTTCATGGTGGTGAAGGAACATTTCAGGCTCGCTGATGGGTTTTAATAGTTTCTGGACAGCAATGTGGCTCTATGGCTCAGAGGGAGAAGAGACATCACACGCAGGACTCGTTGGTTTGAGTCTTTTCATGGGAAAAAGTTTCTGTCACATTATTTGTACTGCATATTTCAACAACCAGGCAACTCAAAGTTCTTTACATAAAACAAAAGTAACATAAAACAGTCAAATAGAAAATAAACAGGACAGTAAAAGTTACAGTACATGTAAGATATTAATCTGCCTTTTGAATTTGATTTAATAAAAGGCAGCAGTAAAAAGAAAAGTCTTCAGTCTTGATTTAAAAATTTCGGTTTCGGCAGATTTTTCCAGATATACGGAGCATAAAAACTGAACGCTGCTTCTCCAGGTTTAGTTTTGACTCTGGGGGCAGAAATCAGACCTGAGTGATCCCAGACAGCCTGAGAAGTCTGGATGGTTCGTAAAAAAGCAGAAGATCAGAAATGTATTTTGGCCCTGAACCAGCAGCAGTATTTTAAAATCAGTTCTTTGACAGACAGGAAGCCAGCGTAAAGACCTCCAGAACTGGATTGATGTGATCCACTTTTAGGATTTTAATGTGTCTCTTGATGGGTGTTTTTTTTTTCATCCTGCAGCACTCCTGTTGGCTTCATGTGAAGAAGGAGTTGAGGTAAAGGACTTTGTCTTTGGCTCCTACATTTTTAACATCACTACATGTGCAGTCAGGCGTCACGCGGGATCGCACGCTCGCTCTAACTCTGGCACATTGGTTTCGCTCATTCAGAGAGAAGAGCGTTGCACTCGACAAGGACGACGTCATCCAGGTGAAGGAGGCTTTCAAGTGGATCCTTCAGGGACAAGTCGCCAAGGAGCTGGGGGGCGTTGCTGTGGTTACCAGGGTAGGGCGCCGCCCTCATGAAGGGGAGAAAATCGTGTTTTATTTAAGGAATGATGTTTTTATACATACATCATTTTAAAGCTGCAGCTAATCATTATTTTCAATATCAACTAATCTGCTGATTATTTTCATGATAAATCAATTAGTAATATAAAATTTCAATAAAAAAAGAAATTCTCATCACCCAAAGTGACGGCTTCAAATTTTTCCTTTTGTCCAACCAACATTCCCGAACCCAAAGACTCTTCATTTACTTCATAAATAAGAAAGAACAGCAGCAATGTCTCACATTTAAGAAGATGAGCAAAGGTTTTGATTAAAATGATTAATCGATTATGAAAATAGTCGTCGATTAATTTTCATTTGATCGACTATTCATTGCGGCTCTAAATCTTTTACATACTTGACTTTTTAAATTAAACATGTAATAAAATTTTTTATAAAATTCATATTCATTGTGGGCAAGTTGGGGTTTTAGAGCTCAAGAAAGAAGCAAATACTCGTTTACTCTTTCACAGCCAGTCTTGGAATTTTAAAAGAATTTGACTTCTCTTTTCTCCCTCTGCCATATTAAACAATATAATTTACCGCACTGCAAATGTGATATTCACAGATGGAGCTGAATTTCTGTTCGTTTATTATTATTATTATTTTCCCCAGAGTTTGTTCGAGGTCGGCGTGGAGTTCACTCACCCAGAGACGGACGCTGACTGCCACTTCCTGTGAGTCCCGATCTCTCTGAAGATCTAGAGGAAAAAGCTGTGATGTGACAGACGCAACTTTAAATTGAATGTAAAGGGCAGAATTCAAATAGAATACATGGAGCATCACCTTTTAATGATCAGCACCAGTTAGCAGTTTAAATGTCAGAACCACAATTTATGTCTTAAATATTTGTGTTGGAGTTTGATGTCTAGCAGAGAAACTGAACGATGCTCTGTCCTTCCCACAGTTCATCAACATGTCCTGACTGCTTCAAACCCACCAAGAACAAACAGGTGAGGAAGGTGTTGATGAGTTCAAGGTTATTGTCTCCTTCAGACGCATGAAAGGAAAGGTTGGGCATTTTGTGAACTAAGCCTATTTGCCTTCTTGATGAGAGTCAGATGAAATCGATACCGCTCTCATGTCTGGCTGGAGCCCGGAGTGGCTTAGCTTAGCTTAGCATAAAGACTGGAAACAGAGGGAAACGGCTAGCCTGGCTCTGAAGGGAACAAAATCCACCCAGCAGCAGCTCTAAAGCTCGGTAATCAACCCGTTCTACGTTGTTTGTTTGATCCGTACAAAAACAGGGTTTGTTGGAGGGTTATGTTCCAAGCTGTTTCTTGGCCGGAGAGCAGTGACTTCCTGGAGTTTTTGCTGGTTGACTGGTAACCTCACGCTGACGACAAGACTCCTCTCTTTTTTTTGGGCATTCTTGCCTTCATTGGATAGTTGAGAGACAGGGGAAATGAGGTGAGACAGAGCGGTACGACATGCAACATGGGTCCCCATTGCAGTTTGAGGGGTTTTATCCACTCGACTGCCAGGACGCCCTGAAGTGCATGGTGAATTGGTAGGATTTAATAAAGTTGTTACAAAGGCCTCTGAAGGAGATGGAGGGACTCTCTGTTTCTCTCACTCCCAACAGGGGAACAAGAGAAAGATGCAGCAAAGAGATGGCCGTCATTCATGATGCACATTGTCTTTTTATTTCTTTTTGTACATCCAGGATTTATCCTTTAATGCACAGAAATAGTTTATTACATTTTCAGGAAACACTGATTATCTCTGCTGCTCCAGTACCGACATCCAGACCTGTTCCAGCATTATAGACTGTGACTGAATAGAAAGAACATTAGACAATTAAAATGAATTTATTACTGAAGACAACAGAACAGACGTGAGGGAACATTACAGCTTTAAATGTACAAAATAAAATATCCAAATGGTTTATGAAAGGCTACAGTGACGGTTTATGTCTGACCAATTATTGGATATTACAGGACTAATAAAAACGTCTTCTTTTTATGCAGTCGGTGTTCACCAGGATGGCAGTGGTCAAAGCTCTGGAAAAGATATCTGACGCCAAATTTCTGAAGTAAGCAGCACCTTTGTATCTCAGTTCTCGATGTTTTTCCTTAAAAGCTGTTTTAAATGATTGTTGTTTTTATTTTCAGACACTCCCCGTGTCCACCAGCAGCGGCGACCAGCAGTTGCATCCCTCAGGACGTCCAGTGTCTCCACGTGTCTGTCTTTGTGGCAGGTATCGTAGGACGCCCAGAAAATGTTTTTCCATTTTTGTCGTCTGAATTCAGAATCAGAAGTGGGTGAGTTTTCGCTCCTGATGTTGTTCCTGTTGTCCAGGGAGGTACAACAAGTTCTGCCGCAGTCTGCCTCAGACTCCCTGGGTGATCGATGGGGAGAGGAGGATGGAGTCGTCGGTGGAGGAGCTGATCGCAGCGCCCATCCTGTCTTCCTTCAGAGCCAGCGGTGAGTTCACACTCTGATGGCTAGTTGGTTGAAGTGATCCTGAATGTGTCGTGAAAATCTCCCCTTTGTGTTTCTTTAAAGGATTTAATTTCTCCTCGTCTGGCAGGGAGGATGTGGATGTCCGGACTCTTGGAAACGGTGAGACGCAATTTTTTTTCTTTTCTTAAGCAGCACTTTTCACTGCACATTTTGTTACCTGAAGTATTTTTATTTATAAGTTTTGGTTTATTTGGCAGGTCGTCCGTTTGCGATGGAGCTGCTGAATCCTCACAAATCCAGATTGAGCAAAGCGGAGATGAAGCAGCTACAGGAGGTCCCAAAGCTCCGGCATGCACCTCACAAACTGCATTAAACATTTCACTTAGTGGGTTTCCATCCAAAAAAACGACTTGATAGTCTAACGTGAGCTGCAGGTGACTGCAGGGGCGGGGAAGAAAAACAGCGGCGTCAAGTCGAACACATTCTACCTGCATCAGCTTACTGTGAGCTGAGATCAGGCAATAGTGTAGTTCCAGAGAAAAGAAACCTTGCTCCCGTGAGGTTTTAATGTCATGTGACGTGTTGCAGCGCCAGTGAAAGTCAGACACAATTTCTAACCAGCATGCCTTATTCCAAGTCCAGCATGCATCACGTTAAGTCAGCGCCGCATGAAGTCCAACTTTTATTATTTTTTATGTCATCTTTTTGCACCCTTTTCTTCCACAAGCATTAGCGCCACCTACAGCTTATGTCCATGAACCAACTCCCAATGTTTGCAGTAATCGTGGGTGGAAAAGCACAAAAATTAGCAGATTTTCTTAAAATGCTGTTCAGATGTGTGCTACATTTGGATGGAAACCTGCCTACTGACTTGTTCACTCTGAGGCTCACATGGGGAGGCGGTTCTCTAACCAGCTGACCTAAAGTTGAATGAACATGACTTTTGTTAGGGAGATTAAAAAAAACAACAGTTTTCTGATGAGATTGCGCTGACCTGAATCCTTTCATTTCAATCAAATCAACTGGGCTCCTTTTTAGCTGTTGCGCCCGCAATATTGTTAAAGATTGATAAGAATTCACTCTATTTACGTGTAGTTGGGGGGGCATGAACTTTTTTAGGATTTTGAAAGGAGGTTGTGACAGGAAAAAGTTTGAGAACCACTGACTTAGGGAAGGTCGACACATTGATCCCGAACAGTCTTTCTGTGTTTGTTGTTTTCGTTTAACTTGCATTCATAAAAGTCCTCAGGAGGTCGAAACAACTTTTACAAAACCATAAGGCAGATCTTCAAAATCCAGAGACAGAAACAAAACATCAATACTCCGCTCAGTCTAAAAAGGGAGGACGTTTAGGTCAGAGGGCGGGACTGGGGGAAAGGTTACAGGTTCAAGGAAAATGAGAAAGAACGCTGAATATCAACTGCAATGATTATGGTAGTTTTTGAGATATTTAACTGTGCTGAAGTTTTGGACTGACAGATTTTATAAAGCTGATGTTGACTCTTAATCGCTCTCTTTGTTGAAAGCTCTCATAACACTAACAGAGCTACGCAGATACCGTGTTTTATGTCCTCATATGTTCTTTACGACCACTAACCTTGTTTTTTGTTTTTTGATTTTAGACCATTAACAACTCTTCCGACAAAATCAAAGTGAGAGACCTGCAGATCGTTACCAGGTGAGAAAATATGAAACCGTACAAACACACTAAACTAAACTGCCCCTGCGTTTTTTTAAGTAGTATCTGTAATAAAATAAATGAATATAAAAGACAGTTGAGAAAACAAAGTGTGTTATGTGCCAAACTGTAGAGAGGCCATGAGTCGGATGAAGGAGGGAGAGGAGGAGAAAACCAAGTCGTACACGGCGCTGATCTGGACCCAGAAACCCATCCAGAGCGAAGACCTCACCTTCCTCGACGACATCAAGGTCACTACAACACACACACACACACACACACACACACACACACACACACACACACACACACACACACACACACACACACACACACACACACACACCCGTCATTTTATTTATGTAAAGCCGAGAGATTAAAAGAGCCTTTAGGCTGACTTGAATATATATTTAGTAATATGATCATTTTAAAAGCTACAAATGGAGAATCAGTATCTCCAGTGAGGGTGCTGAGAGACCACCTGGAATAAACTCACTGACTGGATGAAGATCAGAATATAAAGTAAACGGTGGGCTTCATCCTGCAGGATCTGACTCTGGACCAGAAGACTCCTCTGAGGGTTTTGCACCGGCGGGCGCTGGCCGTTCGTCAGCGCGTCATCCACAACATGAACACCCGCTTCCTGGACTCTCATCACTTCTACCTGGGGCTGAAGACACAGGCCGGGACGTATCCTCCCTTCAAATCTGTTGTTTCTCCACAGTGGGGGAAAAAAATGGAAAGGCTTTTTCAGGTCATCTCAGACACAGTTTAACTTTAGTGGTGGACAGTAGCTGTACATTTACTCTAGTATTGTATTCACTTTGCAGATTGAGATGAACATTACAGAAAAATAATCATCCCAAATGTTTTGAAGTTATAAAAAACGAGCTACCCAGCAGATCAAGTTTATAAAATAAAAAAAAATTGGGTCCACCTTTGATGCATTATGATTACAATTAATGCATATAATAATTATAATCCAATAGTTAAAACTGAAAAATCAGTGCCATTCTGCATAATGAGTGCTTTTCTGGTCCGTGCGTGAAGTATGATGAAAACAGCCAGTTTAGGGGGTATTTCTTAATTTCATTGTCCTACTTGCTCTAATGCAAATGTTTATTGAACAGTGTGAGACATTTTTATTTTGAAGGCGAGCGGTCTCTGTTTCCGGGTTTTAGACTTTCTTGTTCATTTCCCATTGTACAAGTAGGAAAATGGAACAAGCCGACGCTTTGGTGCACTAAATTACATCGCACGTCTTCATTCAATGCGACAACAACATAACATCTTTTAAGCAGCATCGGCTCTGGAAAAATGAACTCGCACTGTTCAGTATACATTTACATTAGCGCAAGTAGAACAACTGCAGATGAATTATACCTCACGCACGGACCTTTTATGTTTTGGTAAGTTTTGCTTAAGAAAAAAATGAAATGCATGATTTTAATTGTAACAAAGTATTTCAATACTGCGGTATTGTTACTTTTACTTTAGTACAAGGTCTACAAATATTTCTTTCCCCACCGCACAACTTTAATCATTCTAAGAATGATTTCATTAGAATTAGCTGTTATAATTATTTTGTATAGAACTTATCAATACAGGTAACAAAGTGCTTTACAGTCAATGTAAAATGTAAACTAGTCGAGATAAAATAAAAAATTTGCATCACACAGTGATTTAGGACAATCGGTATATAAAACATAAACAAGTCAGTGCAAATAAGCAAAGAATAAATCAGGCATCACACTATAAGTCAAATCTTATAAATATTAACTGTTAATGTGCAGTGTAAGTACAGCTAGTCGTCTTATTCCACCCATATAAACTGTATGTTCATCAGCTGTATTTAGGTACAAACAGCCAACTTTTGCCAGACGTCTATTTCATTTTTAAACTGCTGTAAAAGCAGCATTTAAAAGTTTTAAAAATATGTCTTTCGGGAACCTGTTGCTGATTTTGCATCGTTGTTCACGATGTGCTCCTGAACGTCAACCAACAGTTACATCAAAGAGTTTGTCCACGGAGACTTTGGTCGCACCAAACCCAACCTGTGTGAGCTGCTGAAGACAGAAACCGACATCCTGGAGCTGGACGTGGAGGTGGGGTGAAAAAAAAATCAAACAATACATATAATTCCAACAATATGGGATTATAATCTATTCAGAAATTTTCAATATGTAGTAATTAAATGACAAATACTAAAAACTCATATTTTAGAGGTATTCATCTGAATAAATCTTTATCTACTTCTGCTGCTCTGGATATATGGAAGTCCATTTCTGCCACTGTGATGATGAAACAAAAAAAAATCCTGAAGGTCATTATAATGAAAACTTTCTCTCTAAATAATGACTTCATAATTATATAAAACTGGACATTGCTTGGAGGAAAGTAAGTGCGGAAGATGAGCAACCTGGTTAAGTTCAGAAAATGTGTCTGTTACTTGATTCCAGCTATTGTTGCACTGTGAAAAAGTTAGCCTAGCACAGGCCTGACTGACCTGAACTCCATTTAGAAAACAAACATTCTAAAAGTTGTTGACAAAGCAATAATTCAAATGATTAACAAATCAGCTACATGCTGTAGTTATTTCGGCATCAGTTTGATCCTTTTATTGCAATTAAATGTTAACTTTGGTTTCATACCTCTGTAGTAGTCGCGAGTTGTGTTTATTCGCGTTATGACTTGCAAGACTTTCATGACTGTGGCAGAAATGGGCTTCCATAGAACAGATTATGTTCCTGCTATCTTTAAACATCAAACAGCTGTAGATCCCTGGATGCTGAATATAATCTGCATGTCTGTGTGTTTCTTCTCAGTCTGTGGACGTGGACTGGCCTCCGTCCATACCAGAGTGAACGCTGCCGCCGGCCTCGTCCTGTATCTGAGAGGCCACAGGTTCGATCTCGGTGAGAGCGAACTGCTTCCGTCAGCAGCCGAGGACGTGGGAGCGTTACACCAAACCATCGACCAGGATCAGAGTGTCTGAGACTGAAACCATGACGTGGTGTGGACGCTGGTTGGAGCTGAAGAGGAAACCATGAACTCCAGTCAGATAGCCCTGCTGGCTGCTTTGTGACACCTGGTCTGTTGATGTTTTGGTTCTGGATTCTGATCAAAACGCATCAAACGTGACCGTGTCTTCAGTTGTATCACAGAAAATGTTTAGTAATACTTTCTCGTGATCTTATTCTGTTGTGTAGTTTCTGGCAAGTCACATGCTAGATTTTTATTTTGATCGTATGGATGAAAAATGGAAAAACAACTCTTGTGTTCTTTGCTCGTTACCACCAAAATGTCTATTTTGTTCTGAGGGTGGCACCAGAGGTAAATCAAGAGGGTTCATCCTGTGTATGGTGGCCATTTTAGGACATTTCAGCTAGTCAGGCTCAGTTCTACATGTTTAGACTCAGCTGTACTTTTGAGTTTCATGTAGCTCCATCTGCAGTCTCAGCACCGTTCTCCATGATTCAGTAGCATATCGTTTCTGAGGCAAACTGTAGAAGGAAAATCCAAACAATGTATTTTTAACTGTTATCCAAGCTGTGTGCTTCCACTGCTGGCAAAACAAAACAACATATTTCAACAGCCTACTTCATGACAAAATGTAAAAATAATGTTTTGATTTTCACCTCCAGGTGCATAGGGAAGAGAGCTGAGGACTACCATATTCGCATGCTGTTATGCACGAGCGATGCTAACATTAGCATGCTAAATTAACATTATTGTTGCATGGTGGAAATCAATTCAATCTCTGTATTTCCATGCAACCGCAAAGCAACTGACAAAGTAGACAATGTTCACATCATGTACCTCAACCAAGTTTCAAATGTCTGCTAATTATTTTTCACAACAAAATGAACTGAAAACAAATTAAGACAGAAAATAAAACCACAATCAGAAATTTCAAATCTGTAGCAAATACGATGACAAATACTAGAAACAACAGTCTCTTTATATTTTGAGAGGTGTTAATCTGAATAAATCAGATTCTATGTGGGTCTCGAACTTCCAATACTTTTCCATATAAACCAGAGTACAGAAAACTGTCAAATAATGGGAGTCGACACTGAATGTGTGGACAGATTATTGATCTTCATTTAGTCTTTGGTATGCTATTCTGATTTAAAATTAAAACTTTGCCACTTTGAGACTTTTATTTTGGCGAAGTTCCTGTAAAGGCTGATTAGACAACATTTACACATTTGAGAACGTTTGCTTCTTTTGTTCTATGAAAAAAAGTTAATATTGCTCAAAATTATTGTATCAGAAAGGATCTTTTTGGTGTCAAATCTCAGGTTTCATAATGACACTTGCTCCAGTGGTATGCTGGAAAAAGGTCACCTCTAATGTGAAGTACATGCAGGTTGTATATTAGCAAGTTTTGTTATGTTGGATACAGAGTTGAGGAGTAATGAACTTCAGTCTGTTTTTGTTTTCCTTGAATTTGGCCTGAAACACAGCCGTGACAGATTTTCTTTAAATAAATCAGACTTGACAAAAACCAAGACGCCATTTTTTTTTTCTCTCCACGCTGATGGTCATTGCCTCAGACAGGCAGAGAAGATCCAGAAACAGCTGAAATAAAGAGTCACAACAGCAGAAACCCTGAAATGTATTTCTTTTAATTTAATTCAAAATAAATACTACCACGCCAATGCAAGTCCACTACTGGGTTCTTGCCCTAATGTTTTGGTAAGAAAACAAACAAGCAAACGATCCAAAAAAGAATAAAAAGAGACTTCAGTTAATGCATCCATCATCATCATCCTTCAACGACTTTCAAGAGGTGCCTTTTTTTAACGACATACAAGGAAACACTGCCTAGAATGACAAACATAAATAAAACAAATACTATGGTACAAAAAAAAGGAGGAGCAAGGGATGATGGGATTGGAACAACCTGATGAAACCAGCACTGCAAAAGAAAAAAAGTAAAAAATGTCAGCCACGGTCCCACTTTTTATATTTTTGTCCTATTTTTATTTTTTTTTTTTTTTTTTTAAAGGGTGAAGGGAAACAAACGACAGTGCAGGCTCCACAGTTACAGTCATGTCCTCAGAAATTTGGGAGTCGATCCATTTTGGGGTCCATGGCGACAAAAGGAAGGCAGGGGGGAGGGGGGGTTGTCTTCATGGAAACACCCTCCGTGGACGATAACTAGTCGAGTCCGTGTATCAACACAGAAAAAAATATATATAAATGGAAGGGTCCAGTCTTTGACGCTGTCTTTTTAAAATTATTTCTTCTTTTTAAATGCAGTTTTTGAATCGTGGTTGTTGTTGTTATTCTCATCAGCAAGCTTGAAGTACAGTCACACGGGTAAAGGAAAAGTTTATGTCTCGTCCGTCAAGATGCCACTAAAGATCCCAAAAAAATAAAAATAAAAATAAAAATAAAAAGGCATTGCATATTTACATCAACAAGTTTGGGGGCGACTTTTTTACTGGCAGTCCTCACAGTCTTCATACATGAGTGTCTCATGGCTCAGTTTTTCTCGTGAACTGTGACATGATTAGTGATTTATTGATACCCTCAGTTCAGATCTAGAAACATATACGTGTGTATAAATAAAGTTTTTTTTTTCCCCCCACAATACCAACAGGATACACGGGGAACAGAACCCCTGCATCTGGAGCTAGAAGCCTCGTTTCTGTTAGTGTCTGTGTGATAAATTAAATCTTCACTCTGATTTATCGTCTAAAAACAGTCTTTGTTTTTATCTGTTGTATTTGTGTGTGAACATGAATGAAAGCCTTGTGTATGCTGTCAGGGTTCCCACACAGTTGCCCAAAGGTCCAAAGTTGTCCAAAAGTATCACAAGACTCTTGCTCTTCGATATGTTTCATGTCTCTGACCTATTTCATCACTTTTACACATGAACTTCAAGAGTATGAGATGACAGGGCAGCAGAAAACAAACAATTTTCCAAAATCTGTAGCAATTGCAAATAGCTTTTAAGACCTGGAAATCACCAAATTCTTCCTCTGAACCTTTCCAGATGTGTGCAGGAACCCTGAAGAGTGTGAGCTGATTTCTGCAGAGCAGCTGAAGTCGGCAGTATTTTCCAGAAACAAAACAAATGTGTTTTCACAGGTGAAATGGCCGAAAAAGTCACATTAAACTTTGATCCACGCAGTGAGTTCATTGTGTTCGGTACCAACCTCTGAATGAATCAAAGGTTTTTCAGGGTTGTCCAAGTGTTGTGCACCTCTCAGACCACTAGAGGCCGGGACTCACTAAGATTGTGCTTGTAGTTGTAAATACAAGCAGGATGTGTTGCTGCCAGGGATTGTAGTCTGGTCTACAGGCTCACTACTAAACTGAAACCAAAGCAGACCTGTGGTAAACCCACCTAAATCCACAAGTGCACATATTATATATGTCATCCAAAATGCTGCAATGCTGTGCAACAGGACTGTAACTGACCTGATTAGACTAAATCCTTTGGACCCACTGGGGTTCTAAATGGACCCGTGGAGGCCTCTACTCTCATATTTAGTGTTTATTTCCTGTTATGAGAAAATATTCTTGTTTTGAGGAAATCCCACCATGATTCCAAACTCATATCACTTAAGCGCTGCGTAATCTTACTGCACGAACACAACCATCAGTCCCAACCCTAACCCCCTCTGATTTAGTTATAAATACAAACGCTGCCAGGATACCAAAAGGTTTTTAGCAGTAAGCCTCGTAGAGGAGGCGAAACTTAACTGAAACTACAAGAAAAATTACATTCTGGTTTAGTGGATTAGTTTAGTTTTAAACTACTCCTTTAACATGCTCATAGTTATGACATGATTTATTAGGTTGTTTCAGCTGCTACTGCTCCACTTAACCTCCTATTTTCCAGAAATATCACTGATACTGAGAGTTTTTTTAGTAGGAGGAAAATGGAGGGTTAACATTCCTCCTTTTATTTATTTGCAATTAGAAGAACTCGAGCTGCTGAGTGACTGATGTGGATTTAGTTTACAATTAAGAAAAACACTTGTGAAATGGAGTGGATAAACACATTTACTGTGCGGTTCTTCACCTGACATCAACTGTTGCTGTTTCACAAACACACTTGGCGTTCTGATATTCTGTTCGTTTAAGAAAACAACTAATTTGATTTTGTGTGGAGTAAACTGTCGACTTCAGTCTGATCAGTACGCAGAACTCACAGCTGTTTCCTGTTTCTGAGTGTGAATATATGTGTGTGTGTGTGTGTGTGTGTGTGTGCTATGACAGCATATGGTTAACCCCCTTGTCCCGCATACATACAGTACATACATACATTAAGCCACATGTCCCTGTGTAAACACCCATTCCACTAGTCCTACAGCTACGATGAGGAAACAGAAGAGCGGAGGTGAGGAGGTGAAGAGGAGGAGGAGGAGCGGTGAGAAAGCAGAGAAAGGCCTCGTTCCCCTGCCGGCTGTGGAAAGCTGGAGCGGTTAGCTGAGTTTGAACGCGGTTGTGCTCTGTGGCGCCTGAGTGAACTGTGCAGTTTCTGGCAGTTTAGTGTTTCCTGTTTCAAAGTAAAAGAACAACTTAGAAGTAGAGTGCGAGAAAAAAACATGGGTTGAAAAAATACAACAGCAAAGTAGTAACACTGCAACAATGAAAGGAATGATACAGACTCGTCCTCGCTCGTCTTTCTTTTGCTTGTTTTTTGTTGACCTGTAGACGGTGATCTTCATTGCCATGGGATTGGGGAATGTGCGCTGCCATGGCAAATGTATGAGAGAGAAAACATTTTTGTAGGTGTTTTTTTTTTTTTTTTTTTGAGTGATCCACGAGCCATGCACTTATTCTCAACCCCGAAAACCGCCCGCCCTCTCCCAAAACAAACAAACAAACAAAAATCACCCTGTCGGTATGATACGAAACATCTGCACACGTAAGGCAACATTTTTGGTTTTTTGTTCCCTAAAACGGCTCTTCCAAACCAAGTGCAAAAAGTCAAAAAGAAAAAGGGCAGAACATCAAACAAAAAATAAAGATGAACGCAACCCGGGTCGACAACTTAATACTGACAAAGAGAAAAAAATAAATAACAAAAACATTGCCTTCTGCAGTAAATAGCGCTGAAAATGTAGGAGACTTATTTTTTAGTGTGGGGAGACCGGCTGGAGTCTATCCCACTGTGCAAAAACCTCTTTTAAAGTCCCTAAAAAGACTTCTCCCCATCTGTGAGGAGGCAGAGAAGGAGAAAAAGAGGGGAGACTGGTATTTTTTTCCCTAAAATGGCTACGTGTTTTCCTCAAAATGGCCACGAATGGGTACGATACTGGCTGGCTGGGCCCCGAGCGCTCACTCCCGCCCGCTGGCTGAGTAGGAGAACTGTGGGAAATGAGGCCTTCGCTCGTTGTCCGCCGCGTCCATCCCGTCCTCGTCGTCTGTAGAGACAGAAACAGAGACACAACAGCCATTATATGTTGATAGGATAGTATAGGAAATACGTATGTCATGTCAAACACAGCTTTCACAGCAATCCTTGAAATAGTTGTCAAGATATTTGGCTCTGGACCAAGAATTAATGAATGAATCGAACATTTAGGCTCTCATTGATTCGGTTCAGACAGAAGGTTTCACTTTGGATTCAGTTCCCAGCTGACAAAACCTTTGGTGTAAAAGGACTGCAAGTAGCCTGTTCTTTGAACATGTGACTTACATTTAATGTTTGTTTATCGCACTATCAGGTTGTAGCTACAGTAGTTGTGAATAGAGCTGCAGCAATTAGTCAGTTAATAGATGTATGTATGTACTTTTCGATCAAAAGAAAATTAACGGACAACTATTCTGATAATCGATGAATTTTTGAGTAAAAATATGAAACATTGCTGGTTTCATCTTCTGAAATGTGAGGAATTGCTGGTTTCATCTTCTGAAATGTGAGGAATTGCTTGTTTCATCTTCTGAAATGGGTTCATCTTCTGAAATGTGAGGAATTGCTTGTTTCATCTTCTGAAATGGTTTCATCTTCTGAAATGTGAGGAATTGCTTGTTTCATCTTCTGAAATGGTTTCATCTTCTGAAATGGGAGGAATTGCTGGTTTCATCTTCTGAAATGGTTTCATCTTCTGAAATGTGAGGAATTGCTTGTTTCATCTTCTGAAATGGGAGGAATTGCTGGTTTCATCTTCTGAAATGGTTTCATCTTCTGAAATGGGAGGAATTGCTTGTTTCATCTTCTGAAATGTGAGGAATTGCTGGTTTCATCTTCTGAAATGTGAGGAATTGCTTGTTTCATCTTCTGAAATGGTTTCATCTTCTGAAATGTGAGGAATTGCTTGTTTCATCTTCTGAAATGTGAGGAATTGCTTGTTTCATCTTCTGAAATGGTTTCATCTTCTGAAATGGGAGGAATTGCTGGTTTCATCTTGTGAAATGGTTTCATCTTCTGAAATGTGAGGAATTGCTTGTTTCATCTTCTGAAATGTGAGGAATTGCTTGTTTCATCTTCTGAAATGTGAGGAATTGCTTGTTTCATCTTCTGAAATGGGAGGAATTGCTGGTTTCATCTTCTGAAATGGTTTCATCTTCTGAAATGGGAGGAATTGCTTGTTTCATCTTGTGAAATGTGAGGAATTGCTTGTTTCATCTTCTGAAATGGTTTCATCTTCTGAAATGTGAGGAATTGCTTGTTTCATCTTCTGAAATGGGAGGAATTGCTGGTTTCATCTTCTGAAATGGTTTCATCTTCTGAAATGGGAGGAATTGCTTGTTTCATCTTGTGAAATGGTTTCATCTTGTGAAATGTGAGGAATTGCTTGTTTCATCTTCTGAAATGTGAGGAATTGCTGGTTTCATCTTGTGAAATGGTTTCATCTTCTGAAATGTGAGGAATTGCTGGTTTCATCTTGTGAAATGGTTTCATCTTCTGAAATGTGAGGAATTGCTTGTTTCATCTTCTGAAATGGTTTCATCTTCTGAAATGTGAGGAATTGCTGGTTTCATCTTCTGAAATGTGAGGAATTGCTGGTTTCATCTTCTGAAATGTGAGGAATTGCTTGTTTCATCTTCTGAAATGGTTTCATCTTCTGAAATGTGAGGAATTGCTTGTTTCATCTTCTGAAATGTGAGGAATTGCTTGTTTCATCTTCTGAAATGGTTTCATCTTCTGAAATGTGAGGAATTGCTTGTTTCATCTTCTGAAATGTGAGGAATTGCTTGTTTCATCTTCTGAAATGGTTTCATCTTCTGAAATGTGAGGAATTGCTTGTTTCATCTTCTGAAATGGGAGGAATTGCTGGTTTCATCTTCTGAAATGGTTTCATCTTCTGAAATGGGAGGAATTGCTTGTTTCATCTTGTGAAATGTGAGGAATTGCTTGTTTCATCTTCTGAAATGGTTTCATCTTCTGAAATGTGAGGAATTGCTGGTTTCATCTTCTGAAATGTGAGGAATTGCTGGTTTCATCTTCTGAAATGTGAGGAATTGCTGGTTTCATCTTCTGAAATGGGTTCATCTTCTGAAATGTGAGGAATTGCTTGTTTCATCTTCTGAAATGTGAGGAATTGCTGGTTTCATCTTCTGAAATGGGTTCATCTTCTGAAATGTGAGGAATTGCTTGTTTCATCTTCTGAAATGGTTTCATCTTCTGAAATGTGAGGAATTGCTTGTTTCATCTTCTGAAATGGTTTCATCTTCTGAAATGTGAGGAATTGCTGGTTTCATCTTCTGAAATGGTTTCATCTTCTGAAATGGGAGGAACTGCTGGTTTCATCTTCTGAAATGGTTTCATCTTCTGAAATGGGAGGAATTGCTTGTTTCATCTTGTGAAATGGTTTCATCTTCTGAAATGGGAGGAATTGCTTGTTTCATCTTCTGAAATGGGAGGAATTGCTGGTTTCATCTTGTGAAATGGTTTCATCTTCTGAAATGTGAGGAATTGCTGGTTTCATCTTGTGAAATGGTTTCATCTTCTGAAATGTGAGGAATTGCTTGTTTCATCTTCTGAAATGGTTTCATCTTCTGAAATGTGAGGAATTGCTGGTTTCATCTTCTGAAATGTGAGGAATTGCTGGTTTCATCTTCTGAAATGTGAGGAATTGCTTGTTTCATCTTCTGAAATGGTTTCATCTTCTGAAATGTGAGGAATTGCTTGTTTCATCTTCTGAAATGTGAGGAATTGCTTGTTTCATCTTCTGAAATGGTTTCATCTTCTGAAATGTGAGGAATTGCTTGTTCATCTTCTGAAATGGTTTCATCTTCTGAAATGGGAGGAATTGCTGGTTTCATCTTGTGAAATGGTTTCATCTTCTGAAATGTGAGGAATTGCTTGTTTCATCTTCTGAAATGGGAGGAATTGCTGGTTTCATCTTCTGAAATGGTTTCATCTTCTGAAATGGGAGGAATTGCTTGTTTCATCTTGTGAAATGTGAGGAATTGCTTGTTTCATCTTCTGAAATGGTTTCATCTTCTGAAATGTGAGGAATTGCTGGTTTCATCTTCTGAAATGTGAGGAATTGCTGGTTTCATCTTCTGAAATGTGAGGAATTGCTTGTTTCATCTTCTGAAATGGGTTCATCTTCTGAAATGTGAGGAATTGCTTGTTTCATCTTCTGAAATGGTTTCATCTTCTGAAATGTGAGGAATTGCTTGTTTCATCTTCTGAAATGTGAGGAATTGCTTGTTTCATCTTCTGAAATGGTTTCATCTTCTGAAATGTGAGGAATTGCTTGTTTCATCTTCTGAAATGGTTTCATCTTCTGAAATGGGAGGAATTGCTGGTTTCATCTTCTGAAATGGTTTCATCTTCTGAAATGGGAGGAATTGCTTGTTTCATCTTCTGAAATGGGAGGAATTGCTGGTTTCATCTTCTGAAATGGTTTCATCTTCTGAAATGGGAGGAATTGCTGGTTTCATCTTGTGAAATGGTTTCATCTTCTGAAATGTGAGGAATTGCTTGTTTCATCTTCTGAAATGGGAGGAATTGCTGGTTTCATCTTCTGAAATGGTTTCATCTTCTGAAATGGGAGGAATTGCTGGTTTCATCTTGTGAAATGGTTTCATCTTCTGAAATGTGAGGAATTGCTTGTTTCATCTTCTGAAATGGTTTCATCTTCTGAAATGTGAGGAATTGCTGGTTTCATCTTCTGAAATGGTTTCATCTTGTGAAATGTGAGGAATTGCTTGTTTCATCTTCTGAAATGGGAGGAATTGCTGGTTTCATCTTCTGAAATGGTTTCATCTTGTGAAATGGTTTCATCTTCTGAAATGGGAGGAATTGCTTGTTTCATCTTGTGAAATGGTTTCATCTTCTGAAATGGGAGGAATTGCTTGTTTCATCTTCTGAAATGGTTTCATCTTCTGAAATGTGAGGAATTGCTGGTTTCATCTTCTGAAATGTGAGGAATTGCTTGTTTCATCTTCTGAAATGGTTTCATCTTCTGAAATGTGAGGAATTGCTTGTTTCATCTTCTGAAATGGTTTCATCTTCTGAAATGTGAGGAATTGCTTGTTTCATCTTCTGAAATGTGAGGAATTGCTTGTTTCATCTTCTGAAATGGTTTCATCTTCTGAAATGTGAGGAATTGCTTGTTTCATCTTCTGAAATGGGAGGAATTGCTGGTTTCATCTTCTGAAATGGTTTCATCTTCTGAAATGGGAGGAATTGCTTGTTTCATCTTCTGAAATGGTTTCATCTTCTGAAATGTGAGGAATTGCTTGTTTCATCTTCTGAAATGTGAGGAATTGCTGGTTTCATCTTCTGAAATGGTTTCATCTTCTGAAATGGGAGGAATTGCTGGTTTCATCTTGTGAAATGGTTTCATCTTCTGAAATGTGAGGAATTGCTTGTTTCACCTTCTGAAATGGTTTCATCTTCTGAAATGGGAGGAATTGCTGGTTTCATCTTCTGAAATGGTTTCATCTTCTGAAATGTGAGGAATTGCTTGTTTCATCTTCTGAAATGGGAGGAATTGCTGGTTTCATCTTCTGAAATGGTTTCATCTTCTGAAATGGTTTCATCTTCTGAAATGGGAGGAATTGCTTGTTTCATCTTGTGAAATGGTTTCATCTTCTGAAATGTGAGGAATTGCTTGTTTCATCTTCTGAAATGGTTTCATCTTCTGAAATGTGAGGAATTGCTGGTTTCATCTTCTGAAATGTGAGGAATTGCTTGTTTCATCTTGTGAAATGGTTTCATCTTCTGAAATGTGAGGAATTGCTTGTTTCATCTTCTGAAATGGTTTCATCTTCTGAAATGTGAGGAATTGCTGGTTTCATCTTCTGAAATGTGAGGAATTGCTTGTTTCATCTTCTGAAATGGTTTCATCTTCTGAAATGTGAGGAATTGCTGTTTCATCTTCTGAAATGTGAGGAATTGCTTGTTTCATCTTCTGAAATGGTTTCATCTTCTGAAATGTGAGGAATTGCTTGTTTCATCTTCTGAAATGGTTTCATCTTCTGAAATGGGAGGAATTGCTTGTTTCATCTTGTGAAATGGTTTCATCTTCTGAAATGTGAGGAATTGCTTGTTTCATCTTCTGAAATGGGAGGAATTGCTGGTTTCATCTTCTGAAATGGTTTCATCTTCTGAAATGGGAGGAATTGCTTGTTTCATCTTGTGAAATGGTTTCATCTTCTGAAATGTGAGGAATTGCTTGTTTCATCTTCTGAAATGGGAGGAATTGCTGGTTTCATCTTGTGAAATGGTTTCATCTTGTGAAATGGTTTCATCTTCTGAAATGTGAGGAATTGCTTGTTTCATCTTCTGAAATGGGAGGAATTGCTGGTTTCATCTTGTGAAATGGTTTCATCTTCTGAAATGTGAGGAATTGCTGGTTTCATCTTGTGAAATGGTTTCATCTTCTGAAATGTGAGGAATTGCTTGTTTCATCTTCTGAAATGGTTTCATCTTCTGAAATGTGAGGAATTGCTGGTTTCATCTTCTGAAATGGGAGGAATTGCTAGTTTCATCTTCTGAAATGTGAGGAATTGCTGGTTTCATCTTGTGAAATGGTTTCATCTTCTGAAATGGGAGGAATTGCTGGTTTCATCTTGTGAAATGGTTTCATCTTGTGAAATGGGAGGAATTGCTGGTTTCATCTTCTGAAATGGGAGGAATTGCTGGTTTCATCTTCTGAAATGTGAGGAATTGCTGGTTTCATCTTGTGAAATGGTTTCATCTTCTGAAATGGGAGGAATTGCTGGTTTCATCTTCTGAAATGGGAGGAATTGCTGCCATTCTGTGTCATTTATGAAAGTGAATGAAGAGTCTTTGGGTTTTGGACTGTTGATTGGACAAAAGAAGCAATTTAAAGACGTCACTTTGGTCTCTGGAAAATTATGATGAGCTTATTTCACAATTTCTTGACTTTTTAGAGACTAAACGATTAACTGTGAAAATAGTCGGCAGATTAGTCGATAATGAAAACAATTGTTAGCTGCAGCCCTTGTTGTGAACATGAATTAAGCTGCCACTAAACAGCCAACGAAAGCTCATCACTGAGTTAAATATATAACTTTATTAAATGCTAGCAAACCCCGAACCTTAAACAATGCAACGGAATTCTCCTCTCCTGCTATTTTACAACATATAATATACCATATATTACCAAATATGGTGAACTATACCATATTTTGATCACATTTTTGAAAACTCTGCTCATTTAAACCATCTAAAATATCAAAATATTAAAGAGGTCATATTTTGCTTTTTCCCTCTCCTTTATTGAGTTAAATATATTTTTTGTGCATGTAAGAGGTTTGCAAAGTGTACAAACCCAAAAGGGAGTTCCCCTCCCATGACAAAAATATGCAGTTTTTTCAAAATGTAAACCTGTTCTGGTACAACCACTAAATAAGATTATGAACTTGAAAATGAGCAGAATATGACCACTTTAAACTATCCCTGCTGTTTTTTAATACTCAAAAGTGTTACTAAGAAATGAAATGAGGCTACATTTATGAGCTGGTCTTTGATATCATTTTCCACATAATTTAAAGATAAATCTTTCTAGCTTTTGTATTAGATTTTTTTTTTCTTTGTCAACTGAATTTTGAACATTTTATTTAGTAAAACCCTTAAAAGCCGCTTTGGTTTTTGAAAATGTTAAAATATTTGATAAAAATGCTGTTTCTGGATGAAAGTAAGCATTAATCTTTAAGGGCTCCAGAGCTCATTAAAACAGTATTTTGTGTGTAAAGTTGAGGGACTTGTGAAGCAGATTTTTTTTAATAAGTGAAAGCAGCGAGGTCAAATCAACTTTTTATAAATGGGCCTAGATGACAAAATCGCTAAGGTAATTTCCTCAGACATAAACAAAGCTTCTCCAGAGTCAGAAGACAGAGCTGATGAATAAATTCCCCTTTAAGTCAAGATGAGGCAGATGGAAAGTAAAATGCTCCATCATATTAGAGGCAAACTAACACAGATGTGCTGTTAATAGGAGATCAGCACCGGCCTGATGCCTCAGGAATCTGATCTGGTGTCAGTGGAGGTAGCAACACATTCTTACATTTTTCCGGCGGAGTGATGGTGATGGTCTGTGCTGTGAACTCCTCGTCGAAGTAGCGCGTGTCCGTCTCTGAGCTGACCTGGGGCTGGAAAGGTGGGACCAGCTGGAATAGACAGGAAGTGACAGATGTGACAGATGTATGGTTGCTGAGTTGGCTGTGTGAAAGTTAAAAAATACTGGTGTGGCATGGTCATCATTTGGAGTAAGGCTGTGCGATATGACAGACATGTGTCGAGTAGCCAACTTAAAACTAACTTCACAGCGGTACGTTCTTCCACGTGTGCCGGTGTTGCAATGAAGAAATTTGCATTCAGAATAAACAAACATGGGGGAGAGGGAAGTTTACTCATAACTGCATAATTCTGAACAGGAGGGCTCAGACCATGCAAGCAAAAACGAGGAGCTTATACCAAAGACAGAAGTCTGTTGTATGGACGACCCACACAACACTATCCAGCCATGATATGTGTGTCAGGAAATGTTAAATGACTCGCCCACGGTGTTCAGCTTACTTTCTGGTTCACCGACACATGGTGTTGTTGTGATGTTAGCTATAGCAGCAGGAGAGCTGTGAGTATCGCTGTCTGGAGCTGCTGTGTTGCTCTGGGACCGTCTTGTCTTCCCATGTTAGCTTTGCAGCAGCAAGTAGCCACAGTTTGCCAACTCACTGTTTTGTTGTTCACTCTATAGCATGGTACTTGTTATCGTGTTACCCAACGTTTATGATACAGAGAAATTTACAAAAAATGTTATATACGTTGATATACATCATTATCAAAATATGAAATGACCTATATTGGGATATGAGATTTTAGTCATATCGCAAAGCCCTAATTTGGAGGTTTCCAGTTATAAGTATGATGTGGATGTTTAAGTGAACTGAACAATAAAACAATAACAATAATTATCGCAATCTAATTTGCGACAAATGTTCAATAAATATTCAATAAATGTTTGATAGTATTCACTTGAATCACACACAAATTAGGACTTAATTTTTTATTAAAATGTTTATTTTGTTGAGGAAAAAGGACTGAAAAAAGCTTTTACTTAATTTACTCATGTATATTTGTAAACAAAGATTTTATCATAATTGTTTTGAATGTTCTACCTCAGATTTGTGAAGTGGTCCGCTGTTTGGCCTCAAGTGTTGAATATAAAGAAGAGTTTAAACCACAATTAACCATCAGGTTTCTTCAACTTTGCCTTTAAACTCGAAAGAAATAACGGTTTGATACTTCGCCACATCGTCCAGCCCTAGCCAAACCACATTGATCAGGTTTAGTTCAGTTCACGTCAGTCATTTTATTATCCCAAATGGGAGACTTGACTTGCAGTCAGGGGCACAAGACAAGTTACCTGCACACACAATATATAGAACACAATAAAAACATACAACAATCTCTAAAATGCTAAGTTACATGTGCATATTAAGAAGGGTTATTGAACATGGAACAAAGCAGTTTTTGCTACTATTGCGTTTAAACCAGGGTAGTCTAAACTTTGGACACGCAGAGAGGAACAAGGACCTTGACTGACATATTTCTGAAAGGTAAACAAGGAGAAGAAGTAAGAGGTTGTTAAGAGGCCCCGGTGCTGTTTGGACTGCTTTATGTTGTTGAAATGAGCTAGAGATGAGGTCATTTTTTTCTTTTCCGTTCTATTTTGGAGTATACTCAGCCAGACTTTCTTTTGAAAAATTAGGTAACCCTGCTACCAGAATATCTCAGGTACGCTGTTTCAATAAATAACCATTGAAGATCGGATGACGTCTAGCAGCTAAATCCCGCTCTCACCTTCTTGTCGTAGACGTCCTGCCAGTCGATTGTGCCAAAGAAACTGTGTCGCATGATCTCCTTAGCGTCATCTGGTCCGCCGCCCAGCCTGTCAGAAAAGAGAAGAGAAGAAGAAGACGACGTTGAAGTCAGACATCAAACGTTGCTCTTATCCTATCTTATCTAGTCTTCTGGAACCAGAATATCCACCTGCTACTGATCTCAAAATAACTCGCCTGGGTGAACGAGTTTGCTCTCTGAAGCTGCAGTAGCCTCTTTTCACCAGTTTCTTCATTAGAGACAGAAAACGCCTCGGGGATAAGCAAAGTGGGAAATTAACAGCAGCCACCGGTCACTTTTGTCCAACAGAACACATGTTTGAATGAACTTATACAAGATATCAGATACAAGATACAAGGTTGTTTGTTAATCATTATACAGCACAAGGCTGCTTAACGTATAACTGCCTAACTTATTGCTGCCTAACTTATTATTGCATTGTATAAATGCATCAGCTAAATAAATGTAATGTAAACTTATTCATTATATCATTGATCATATCTGTTAATATATTTAATCTGGTAAAGATGGATGGACTATACAGTATGTCCCACGCGGGGAATCAGCATCAGCTCAGCATTATGTTGTACTAGTGGGCAAAAACTTTGCCTGCACAATTTAGGCCTTCTGTCAATGTCATAAATCCACTGAATGAACCTCAGTTCTGGCCAAGTTTGTGGGTGGGAAGCCAGTGAGGGATGTGTCCTTGACTCTCGCACATCAACCTCCCATGCGTTACATCCTCTCAATGGAGCTCATCTGTGGCAGGTGAAAAGAAGCGGCTGCTAACCGTCTCCACAGGACAGGAGAATTTTAAACTGCAGAAGTGAAAGTACTGCATTTCTGCATCCATTTAAAACAGCAGCTGTTCTCTGCACAGTCCCACACCTGCCCGTTCATTAATTGTGTTTGTGTATGAGTGTGAGTGTACCGTTTGTTGGGGTCCTTGATGAGCAGCCCTGACAGCAGCGACTTGGCGTCGGCCGACAGGGTTCGTGGGAACTTGATCTCCTCCATGAGGATGAGCTCGAACAGCTTCTCATGGTCCTGGTTGTAGAACGGCAGGCGGCCGCACATCATCTCATACGTCACCACACCCAAACCCCACCAGTCCACCGCCCGCCCGTAGTCGTTGTCCTCCAGCACCTGATAACATATCATTTCCTTTAAATTTCCTCTTAGGAAGCTTAAAAACAGGGGCAAATATTGTTAACCTAATATTACCCAATATTTTCTGCGAGGTCTAGCTGTTCATTGAAACTAGATTAAACTTTCATTGAATGACAGCGTATATTAAAACCCAAAAAGTCCATTGTAGCCATTGTTAAATAAAATTAAAATTTCAAGACCAACCTGTGGATCTTTGCTTTCTGATGTAACTATTTCAGACCCTGACATATCTGATATCCTCTTTCATATCCTTTTAATGGAAAAATAACTTTCAAAATCTCCACCTAGAGCCATGTTAGAAGAAGTGAAATTAGGTAGTGACATTCTGCTTTGTTGTATAGAAAGCATTTGTCAGCCATTAGAGGAACTACATCTTTAAGCTACTTCCACATTGGCTCTGACCGATGGTTGAAGTTTGGTGACAATCAGACAAAAAGCTTCTCTCCTGATTTCATCATACAGGACAAAAACAGTCTTCAACCAAGATGTAAATGTAAATGCTCCGTACTTGTATAGCACCTTTCTAGTCTTTTCAACCACTCAAAGTGCTTTTACACTACATCTGCATTCACCAGTCACACACATTCATACACTGAGCCTAAGTGCTCAAACGAAAACTAGCATTCACACACATTCATACACTCGCGGAACAGCCGCCAGGGGCAAATCGGGGTTCAGTGTCTTGCCCAAGGACACTTCGACACGCAACCAGGGGGAGCCAGGGATCGAACCGCCAACCTTCCAATTAACGGCCAACCCACTCTACCTCCTGAGCCACAGCCGCCCCAAACCAAGCACCACTTTCTAATTTTTCCGGTTGTTAACTTTTATCGGCACTGCATGGTTCCATCCAATTTGTTATAATTCTCAGTTTAGTGTGACCTCTGACCTCAGGAGCGAGGTACTCTGGTGTTCCACAGAAGGTCTTCATGGTGGCAGTGTCGGTGATGCCTTCTTTGCAGAGGCCAAAGTCTGTGATCTTGATGTGGCCGTCTTTGTCCAACATGAGGTTCTCCAGCTGATGAGAAAGACAAGGGAAATAAAAAACATGACCCATTGTTATTCCAACCTTAATGCCAATCTGGACGTTTCTGTATGTTTCTACATGTTAAACTAATAATTGTAAACTCAGCGCAGGTGTCTGATGTTGGGTTTTTCTTAAGACTTCACTCAGAGCAGGTGTAGTTTACCTTCAGATCCCGATAGACAATCTTGGCAGAATGTAGGTAGTCTAGAGCAGAGACGATCTCAGCGCCATAGAAACGGGTGCGGTCCTCCGAAAAGACTCTTTCTCTTGACAAATGGAAAAACAGCTACCAAAAAAACAAACAGAAAAAACCAAAGTTCATACACCTCAGACATTTTTGTTGTATTAAGATGATTCATCCAGGAGGGGCTGAGCTGAAGCAGATGAGATCATTTTACACGCAGTTACACTCAAAACAACAGTGGAATGACAGTTTCAACTTGACCAAGGCTTAAAGCAAATCATACTCGTAAAGGAAAGCTTGGGTCTGTGTATGTGTGGAAATATTTCATACATACAGTACATAACCACTTCTCTCAATTTCAGTATGGGAAAGAGTAGCAAACTGTATCTCTAAATAGACAAATTATATCTGAAATCTTTTTTAAAAATGTCCAAAATGTATTCAATATGTCGCGATTATTATGAATACTACTCTGGCTAGATGATCGGCCGACAGCGTCCGGCCAGAGTTAAAAATGCAAAATGAAAGAATACTGAAAACAAAGAACTGTGTACTCTTTTGTCAGGTGGAAGTATCTCCAATTACTCAGAACTATAAGACTTTTATGATGAAGAAATGCCAGGTGCAAAAACACACAAACGGACAACTGTTTTTAACAATTTTGGATGTTTTTTGAAGAACTTCTTGTGTGTAGTACTACAACTAAAGCATGTGTTACTGGCATAAACAGTAAACATAAACAATATTTCAACAAAACGACGACTACAGTATATGTTGTTTGTTGTGAACATGCAGAGATTTTGGCCTGGCGTTAAGAGTCCCTGAATTATTGTCCCAGTCCGGGCCGGCTGGCCAGTTTCTTCACACCAAACAGATCAAGAACAAGAAAAGAACAAGGTTATGTATCAGGCATGCATTTTAAATACAATTTCCTTTTAACCTAACCCTTAGAGAGACACAGAAGGACTCTGAAGTCACACTTCGGAAGACATATTGCAAGTCCCTCTGCCTTGAAATTAATAAACTGACACCAAAACGCCACGACAGAGCGGACACCCCAGGCCTACAACTCTCCAAATGTGACTTAATGAGAGGAGTGACGGCTTTCTGTTAAAGCTCTTTGATTCACACTGTGTTGTTAATCAACATTCTTCAATAATTCTTGAAATAACTTCCACGTTGAAATAAGACAGAACATCCGCCAGCATCAAAAACATTTCTTCTTCACTGCTCTCTCACCTCTCCTCCGTTGACGTACTCCATTACAAAGCACAGCCGATCTTTCGTCTGGAACGAGTACTTCAGAGACTGCAACACAATATATACATATTTTTTTTAAACCAAGCAGAGCTCAGCCGTTTTGCTTCAAACACATTATTTTTTTAAGAACAGACGCTTTGTGGTCTGAATTCAGTGCATCCTTCCTTCTTTGCACGACACTTATCATAATGGGCTTTGAAGTTGGCGGCCACCGCTTCTCTTTTTAAAAAGTGAAAAGTAGCACAGGTGTGTCTTCATGTAATGTTTCGTGCAATCTACATCCTGATACTCACAGTTAGGAATGGATGCCGAGTGTTTTTTAATACCCTACTTTCTGTGAGTGTGTGAGCAACTTCATCCTGTGATAAAAAAAGAAAAAAGAAGGAGAGGCAGAGTGATTAATCAGGAGACAAAAGGAGTTCGCCTGCAGAAGGTTTCTTGTTTTAGTCAAAAGGCTGAGGGTGTAATCGACAGGGAGGTGTGTGAACATCGGGCTAATGCTAGTATAAAACCAATCTGTAAATTATTTTTATGAATGAATATGATCATCCTTCACAAATTGTTACATGCCAAATATCTGACACTGAAGGTATTACAAAAATTATGCTATTTTAAGGTATAGACTCAGGGTAAATCTTTGTAAAAAAAAATGATTATATGACATATAAATCTAGTGATGGAGAAATCTTTACAAAGCTGAGCTGAAAAGTGTAAAACAGCAAAAACCAGTAGAAGCTGACAGAAACATTAAAAAGGACCTTGGCTATGATGACTTCCTTCTTTAGGATCTTCATGGCGTAGTAGGTACCACTCGCCTTCTCCCTCACCAGAATGACTTTCCCAAAAGTGCCTTTGCCCAGAAGCTTCAGATAGTCAAAGTCATTCATTGTCTGGACAAAGAAACAGAGGCATGAAGAAACTGGTTCTCCACCATCCATTGCACTCACATCCTCGTCTCAAAGTGAGACAGCTTCACAAACAGGAACGATATGTTGACTGCACTCAGACTAACTGTCACCTTTCGTTTGTAGTGGCTGATGGAGGTGTCCATCTCCTCCTCGTTGACGTTCTCGATCTGGGAGGTGGGGCTGCACAGGATGCCCTCCTCCTCCTGTTTGGCCAGAGACTCAGCTACCATCTGGATGGCCTCTGCCCATTCGTCCCTGCAGGACACAACAACAGGTTAAAATACCAGCAGACAGCACTTGGTTAATTGTGGCTTCACCATTAGACTCACCATAAATCTTTGGAGAAGCGAAAATAACTTTTTTTTCCCTAACTAAGAGACTGCTAGTTGAAACTATAGACTCTCACATATGGATGTGTGTCAACATGTTCAAAAACACAATCTTCAACACAATATTTAAACAGAAAACACTACACCTGATCCCATGCAATACTGTACATCCATCTAGTGTGGAGGTGGTGCTATCAACAGGTGAGATCTGACGCCCATCTAGGAATCAATAAATTCCTGTAGGCGTCTGAAATGGGACTGCCGTAAACCCTTTCTGTCAAGGATAAATCCAGCTTTAGTGAGACTACCCTGTCATCAGAAGAAGGTCTCTGTTTGTTTTAACCTGCCTGGTGCATTTAACAGGCAGAATTTACTACGTTAACATTTAAAGTGCAGCTAGTTAGGCTGTCAATCACAGAAAACACATAATAAACAAATTCTGATATTTCTTAATCTAGTGGAGTGCCTAGTCCACTGTGGTAAAGTCCGCCCCGTCTGCTACCAAATGGACAGTGAATGAAAGCAAAATAGAAATCTACCTACTTTTGCAAACATAGCTTCTATAATACTGACTTTTAATTTGTTTGTTATCTTACTTTTTTTTTTTGAATAAAATAAACTGGTGGCCAATGAGACCCAAGAGCCAATGAATGGTCCAATCCACCCAAAAGACATCCATCCTCCTAACAACCTACAGACCTACTCTGACAAAATGACTGCTGCTCACTCTAGTTAGCAGAGTCTTGTTCACAACAAGCCATTAAGCATCAGGTAAAAAGTCATTATATTGTGTTTTGGAACGAAACCCTTCAAAACCTGGCGATCAGCCTCAGCCCCACACCCCTGCTTCCTGTCTTTCTTCTCACTGAGTTGACAGTCTCCTGTTGTGTGAGGAGAATTTAACACAAAAACCTTCCAGTCTTGTTCAGGGCGGAGAACTGCAGATTATTTGTCCCTAATCCCAACGCCGGACCTTTAACATCTGATATCTTTTGATAGGGAGTCCTCTCCCATATCGTATGTTTTTTTTGTTTGTTTGTTTGTTTTTTTTAGGTACACAAGCAGCCAGTGTCAGTGTCTTAAAACCCAAATTTGCAGACACAATATAATTTTTTTTCCATTGGAAATTTGACTATTGAAATTGAGTTACTATTTGTGGTTTTAATATTTTATTTTCTATTTTCTATTTTATTTTATTCTCTTCTCTTTTGAATTTATTTAGAATAAATACATCACAAAAATGAAAATAATACACCTAAAAAATAGTGACAGTGGGGTGATTATTTTCCTGTAGATATGTTTAGATATTGGTTATGAGCTGGTGAACCTTATTTCTCACTGTTCTGTCAAATAAATACAGAAAAAGCCTCACATGGAAGGAAAAAAGGAGGAGGGCTGAAGGCTCACCTCTCATCAGGAGTGTCTACGTGAAAAGTCCTCTCGATGACAGTGGTCCACTGCAGACAGCGGATGATGAAGGTGTTCGGCTTGGGCCGCTCTGTCTTCATCAGCTGACATTCTGGAAGTCACACAGAGACGGATGTGTGGTGTTACACTGATGTTTGTTTCTAGTGTGTGAAATATGTGATGACAGCCTTGTTGCCCGTGTCTTACTTGCTACAGAGAAGTTGTTGAGCGGGTAGGCCAGGTCAGAGTCCTGTGGTTTGTCCTTGTAGCCGATGAAAGAGCCGTCTGTCTTCAGCAGAAAGTAGCGTGGTCGCCAGTTCTTGATATACTCACCTGCAGGGAGGGGAAAAAAGTGGCACCAACAGGTTACATCCTACTCCTATAACATGTTGGACAGAGCTGGAAGCAGCAGAGTCTGGACTTTAGGCATTGGAATCACTTTAATTTTATAATCAATGTAGAGGAAAGTGTCTATGTAAGGCTGGTATTAGCCTGATATTGAGACTGTCATTTGATTTTATTACATTTTTTCAGTCTGACATGTTTATGTTAGCCATTTCCTGTTTGGTAGGGTGGAGTTTTGCCCTAACTGATCAGCACTGACTGTTTAGTCTCCCCAACACACTAAGACAGATGCTGGTACACCCCAAAGACCGCACCCCCAAACACAAGAAAAGCAATCTAGTGTATGCGGTCCAATGCAGTGAGGAATGCACAGACCTGTATATTCGGGAGACTAAACAACCACTACACAAACGCATGGCTCAACACAGAAGGGCCAACTCCTCAGGTCAAGACTCTGCAGTCTACTTACATCTGAAGGACAGAGGACACTCGTTTGAGGACCACCAGGTGCACATTTTAGACAGAGAAGATGGATGGTTTGAAAGAGGTGTCAAGGAAACCATCTACACCAGGGTTGAGAAGCCGTCATTGAACAGGGGGGGGTCTACGCCACCACTTATCCCCCACTTACAATGCTGTCCTTTCATCACTTCCCAGGAAACTCAACAAACGTAACCTAATGGCCTCAGGTGAAGATACCAACGATGGTCGTTCAGTCTTGGCCACAGGTAGTCTCAACGACTGTAACGACTGTCGTCACAGCAACAAGGAACACTAACGAACCAGCGGTATCGATGACCCGGGCCAACGACCCCACTGAGGTTAAATAGCTGAGTTTCCCTGCCAGTCAGTCAGAACTGAAGAAGTCCTTTGGATGAGGGACGAAACGTCTTCCAGTATCTTCAACCAAGTCCAGTTGCCCTTCATTTTAACCTTCGTTGGATAGCACTGACTGATGTGTTTGACGTAATTTTCAATCCACGGATGCTGTGGTAGAGGTTGCTAGGAGCAGTAAACTTAAAGAGTAATAACACCAGGCTGAAAAGCAGCATTTTGCCACCCTCTCTGGTTGAAACCATAGATTCTATTGCTTCATTGTCACCAAAGTAAATATTTAACCCATTTGTTTGAGACATGGCTCTGATCTGGCAACACATCTTTAATTATAATTGAGTTCTTAATTACGATAAAGATTGTTATCTGCTGATATCATGCCCGCACAAGCCAATATTCTTCCAACACTTCCAAACGAAGTGGCAACCACACACACCGCTCACTTAGGAGACCATTCCCTAATGGGAAACATTTCATACTATTGGTGCAGCTTGTAATGCGTTCCCTTTTGTTTTAGAACATCCAAACCCAGCATTACTGACAGCTTGTGCTGTGGTTGGGTGAGGTCATAAATGTGCTCTGTTGCACCTGCAACCACAAGCAGCAGTGATGTTATGAGGTCCTGGAGAACACCTGTACCTCACCACAGTCAGGTGAAAAGTTAAACCACTGGAGGTCAAATGTGTTTTTCACATAGATCAGAAATATGCCGATACAACACATAAAGTTTTCTTTCAGCCTCTCTTGTGATATGCTCTGTTTTGGCCATGATTGGCAATTATTTCAAGTCCACCATTAATAAAAAATTTAAATCAACAAATATCAGATCCAATGAATCTATTGCAGGCGGATTATTTTGGCAGATTTTTGCAAGTTTCAAATCTTTTATTCTGGTGAGTTAAAGTGTCCCCCTGCTGTTTTAGCAATAATATTATTGTAACAGAACCAGTAAGAAGAAGAGATTTAGTTCAAGTAAGTCCAGACATGTAAAAAAAAAGAAAAAAAAAAATCATCATGACATCGTCTAAACTGCAAATCAACAAAACAGTCCTTGCTGGGGAATTTTTGAAAGAGCTTTAGAATTTTAACTGAATCCCACAATGCATTTTTAGAAGTGATCAGGGTCAAACACAACCTAAATGACATGAAACAGGCTTTAACAGTTCTAGTTTCACAGGTGTTTAGCAGAAAGCCATGTAAACTTCAGAGCTCACAGTTGTCTGAGTCTCGGCCAGGACTGAAAAAACATTATCAAAACACACCTGCTGTAGTGGACGACCCTTCACTTTGAACTGGTTAAATTTGGTTTTCTGTTGCATATTGTAAAATAAAATCAGTCAAGAACTGCAGAGCATTACACATTTTATACTAAATAGGTATTATCACCAGCCTTTCAGTTTCTCTAATTTTAGCTTTACCCCAGACGTCAGCCAACAAATTCATTTAAACAGCGGTACCACATCTAGCTGAAGAAGAAATCTTTTGATGAAAAATACTGTATGAACACAGTGTTTATTCTTATTCAGCTGCCATGAAGTGCTGGTTTCCTGCTGTTCTGACTCATCAGTGTGTGACACAATTACAACAAATGTTGGAATACATGAATATGCCGTGGTGAGATGTTGACATCTTACAGAGTCACTTTAGCACCAGAGCTAACGAAGAACAAGGCGCTGGAACCAAAGTGTGTCTGTATTAGTGATCGACGAGTGAACTGAACTGCCTCAGCATCTATCCAGCCAATCAAACTCTGACGCAACTGTTCTCACACATCTGATGACTCGCTCAGCTTCAGAAAAACAACGACAGAAATGGGATGAAATCAGTGCCACTTAAAAACTGGTGAGCTACAGAGAAAGAGAAAGTCAGCAGCATTATGAAAACTAAATAGTTTGAGCTGCAAGTTAACTTACAAATAAGGGCTGCCAGGACCAGCATCTACATCTATCAAAGGTTATTTGATTAACAATTATGTCCATACAATGTCAAAAGAATTGTTTAAAAATTCCCAGAGCCCAAGAAGACTTTTTTTTAAACTCAAAGATATTTACTTCACATGATTTAAAAGAGACAAGCATTTGAAAAGCTAAAACCTTTTGTCTGATAAATTACTTGCACCATTAATCAATTATCCAAATGATTATTAATTATATCTGACAGTTGACTAGATGCAGAGGTGGCCTAAAGGTTACAAAAGTGTACTTGAACCCTGAAAGTTGGTGGTACAATCCCCAGACAGGCAGGATAAATATAGGTGGGGGAACTGAAGGAGCAATGAAAACAAACTGTTTATTTTCTGTAGACCAACTTATAGAATAATTGACTTATTTGTTTGTCACTACCAAAAGAAGAGAGAAGTCTGGCATACATTTTAGAGATACAGCGTTTGAGCGTTTGGGTCCTTAAGATCTCAGGTTAAACTGAGCAACTGAGAACATTGCAGACAGATAAAGCCAACACCTTGTGACAACCTGCAACACTCACGTTGCACCGCCGATACCACCCACCTGTTTACTGATTCGCTTCGTGCCACCGCTGTATCCTCCCTAGTAAAGGCAAGAGCGGAAAGGGAAGAATCGTTGTTGGTGTTGTGGCGGAGAGGACAGTGAAGTGAGCGAGCAAGCAGTGAAAAAAGTGTTTTGCTCTGCCGCAATCGTCCTCCATTCACCGTCCTCTCCACCAAAACTCCAACACCTCTCTTCCCTTTCCGCTCTTGCATTTGCTAGGAAGGATACAGCGAATCAGTGAACAGGTGGGTGGTAACGGCGGTCCTCACAAGGGCAGTGCAACCTGGGTGTTGCAATACAAGCTATAATTAACTACATCAATTTATTTACAAACACTGAATAATATTTAAAACAATTTATCCAAAATCAACTCTAACATAATAATAATAATAAAGGTTAGGCTAGTGGTTTATCTCAGGGTATCACTCTCATCATATCACCGCCCCATGAATAAACCTCGAACTAGGCAGCAGGTTGCCAGAATACCTATTCAACTTGCCATATTGGTAGGTTGGTGGTTGGAGACATGCTGAAGTGTCCTCAAGCAAGACACTTGAGAAACATACAAAGTCTCTTGTTCCCCTTTGACCTGTCACTTTAACGGATTTCCCTTTGGTTTGCAGTTAAAATTGATCCCTCACTGTGTTATGTCCCGCCCAGCGTCCTGTTCCAGCAGGAAGTACCTGTACATCACATTAAAGGCGTAAAGATGCAACTTCAAGAGGTCTCTCATGACCCTCCTGGTCCTTCCTCCACTGACCCCGCCTCAGGACAAACTTCCCATTTACATACTGTAGTTTGAAACCTTACATCTTCACAAAGGCTTATTTTGCTGAAACAGACGCATCACTTTGTGAATGCACCCGCAGACAAATACCATTTATAACAACAGAAACAAGTCTCCACCAACAATAACCCTAGAACAATCCTGTTGCTCCACATTCGACGTTTATGTAAAAAATTTGTTTCAACACTCCAGTTTCAAAACAGTCCTGAACTGCATGTGGACTCATAGTTTCAATCTTAAAAAGCCCAACAAGCTGCTTGGGGCAAGTACTCTAAGAGGGCCGTTAGGACTGAATTATAAGAGCACACACATGGAGGTGCATTAAACAATTCAGGGGTCGGAGAGGAAGGAAACAGAGTGTTAGGTCATCCTCTGTATGCTCATAGTGCCACAGAGAAACTTCCCCCTGCCTGCCAGCCAACAGCCCTGAGCTCAGACCAGACAAACAGACCTCCAGCACACACATACACACACATTAAAATCACTGTGGGAAATAACACACCAGCCAAATGCAGCTCAGACTGGGCTGCAGCCCTGCAAAGCCTGCCTTCTCTGCTCGCCGTCTGGCAGGTAAACAACCATTGTTTGGAGGTGCTGTTCTTCAAACTGGCAGGTTGGCTTAGGCCATGTCCACACTGAGCCTTACAGAAACACAAGCAGCGGTGTTTTCAACTGCCAAAAATTACCTTAACAGTGAATCCATCTTTAAACACTGGATCACAAAAAGTAAGGTCTTGTCATTCTGTTTCTGTTTTTAGACAACTTCTAAATGATAAAATAGTGATTTAATTGACAAATCGGCGTAGCAATGCACTAACAGGTGAAATTTCAATGGGAAGAACTAAACTGTGTGTTCAGTTATGATAAAATAAATTGTAAGTGACCATATAAGTGACTGAAAGATGCAGAAGAAGATATTTAGCTGGCTTCCTGTTGTTTTTGTATTTGAATGAGAACAGAACTTTTCAAAAACAACAGCTGTGTTTCAGTTTCACGCCACATACTAATTCTATCCAGGTTCTAAGTATGCAGTGTGTTCACATTGATAAATTCACAAAATGACTACTGGCCCATAATGCAATGCACAAATAAAATAATCAGAAGCGGAAAAGATTGTGTACGATCGTGGGAAGAGCTCTGGGACCATCTCAGAAAACAGAAAGTATTCAATCTTTAGAAAAACATTTTTTATTACGTGTAACAGGCACATGACATGTTCATCCTTTCAAATCTTTCACTATTTCACGTTTGTATAAAATGGTTACGTTTTGGTAAAATCACGCCTGCAAATTCAAGCGGGTTGAAAAGAGTTGAATCCTGAACCCAACAGGGGCTTTCATGTGTTTATTTTAGCAGGGGTCGCCAGCCCCAGCTTACATTGCCAGTCCATTGCAGGGCCACACATAGACAAACAATCACTAAGGACAATTTTGGAGACACCAATCAACCGGGGAGAACATGCAAACTCCACACAGTTGAGGCCGGGGCAACTGGGGTTTGAACCCACAACCTTCTTGCTTTGAAGCGACAGTGCTACCCACTGCACCACCGCGCTGCCCTATATATATGTAATCTAACGTTGCAAATTGATGACTGTGGTTTGGCATTTGCAGATTGCAGTGAAATAAACACGTACTTGGCAGTCCAGGCTAAACTGACTGTTTTCATTGTCAATTTTAGCTTTCAAGGTTGACAGAGAAATATTTTGAGCAAAGTACTTCCCTTCTTGTGACTATCAGTAGCCAGATGTTTTTAAAAAAGCTATGAAGTGTGGTCAGAACTCACATGAGTTGATTTGTGAAAGATATGATTGGTGGTGTGGCTACCTCTGTAAACATCGTACCTGTTGCATAGGCACAACACTCAACGGAGGTGAGAAGGAAGCAAGATGGCTCACAAGTTAGCTACTTCTATATACGATATACAGTATGTAGTTTACCGTGGGCCACCAATTGAACAGTCGGAATATAAATGCAAGGAAAAAGAAATTGAAGCTGCTGTGGATTCTTGCCAACGGTGTCTGGATAACTATTCAGATCTAGTTTGTACATCTGTAAAACTTTTATGTGAATAAGTGAATTTGAGATTAGTGTGTATAACTTACATTGAATCAATACGTTGCATGGAATTGGGAGATCATGAATATTAAAAAAAAGTTGTTTTCACATGAATGAATTTATGTAAACTGCCTTTTCAGTATAGTCCTCCAACGTAATGGTCTCAGGTTCAATTCCCTCAACAGCTGTTGTGCTAATCTGGTTTCAGATGTCCTGGAGCAAAACACACATCTCCACCTGAACATGAAACGGAGAATGACAGAGAACAGCAGCCATCTGTGGCCGAAAATGTTTCCATCCTGCGTAAAGACAAAACTAAAGCCATGCCAGAAATAAATTCATCCAAACAAACACAAACAGCCGCAAAGACCAGAACACATCCGACATGTTTCAATCCAACTGTGAGGTTTGCTATAAATCAGCTTCCTAAAATACAGAAGGAGAAGTGATTACCAAGAGCTGGTTAGCACCGTTGTTTCTGTTCTGCCAGATAACATCCATTAAGTAAGAGATTGTTAGTTGCAATCCTAGTTGTCTCGAAGTTTTTTTTCTGTCTTTCCTTCCCAGTGTGCCTGGCTGCTAGACAGGTTGCTGTCAATAAACGTTCATAATTCTTTAATACTGTATTGTATTTTACATTTTCCTCATTCAACTGCGTGAAATGTGTATTGACAAATAGCGAGTTTTTGCCATGAAGCAATCAAGCATCTTAATTTTAGACCATTTATTTTTATGCACGTGTGTGGACTGATATCCAACTTTCATAGCTGGCTTATAACATCCTACAATACTATTTTCTTTCTGATATATTTAATTAATTAATTTCTCAGAGTTGTTAGCAAATCATGCTACATTGAAAGAAAAGTTGTTTCCTGTTTCTAAAACCTGACATACTTTTCTGAATCCCAATGACAATGAGTGATGTTTCATCACAGCTGATGCTCACTGCTCACAACAGTGATTTTATAACTTGGTCTTGACTTGTGCTCAAACTTAACGTAAGCAGTCTTGACTGAAACCTGGTTAATCTGATATCCAACGAAGGTTAAAATCAAGGGCAACTGGACTTGGTTGAAGATACTGGAAGACGTTTCTTCCCTCATCCAAAGGACTTCTTCAGTTCTGACTGACTGGCAGGGAAACTCAGCTATTTAACCTCAGTGGGGTCGTTGGCCCGGGTCATCGATACCGCTGGTTCGTTAGTGTTCCTTGTTGCTGTGACGACAGTCGTTACAGTCGTTAAGACTATGATGTACTAAACCATCCATCCATCTGGATGGTTTGAAAGAGGTGTCAAGGAAGCCATCTCCACCAAGGTTGAGAAGCCGTCATTGAACAGGGGAGGGGGTCTACGCCACCACTTATCCCCCACTTACAATGCTGTCCTTTCATCACTTCCCAGGAAACTCAACAAACGTAACCTATTGGCCTCAGGTGAAGATACCAACGATGGTCGTTCAGTCTTGGCCACAGTAGTCTTAACGACTGTAACGACTGTCGTCACAGCAACAAGGAACACTAACGAACCAGCGGTATCGATGACCCGGGATAACGACCCCACTGAGGTTAAATAGCTGAGTTTCCCTGCCAGTCAGTCAGAACTGAAGAAGTCCTTTGGATGAGGGAAGAAACGTCTTCCAGTATCTTCAACCAAGTCCAGTTGCCCTTGATTTTAACCTTCATTGGATAACTATGACCTGGATGACTGAGAATCTTCATAGACATCTGGTTAATCTGATCTTTCACAGTCAACAATATCGAAATGATGAAGCCACTTTTAAACATTATCTGAGAATACGAATGAAGAAACCGCCGTGCTGTTCACACCACACTTTCTGCATTATTTATCCAACGATACGGTATGTTTACATTAATATTTACTACATATATTCATAATAAACAAAAAGAGAGGAGCCACCTCAGGAATAAGACTAGCCTTGTTCTATATTTTTGTAATTGTCAACTAAACAATAGGGCTTTACAATGAATCAAAATTTTATCAAAATCGTAATATGGCCTACTGCAAAAACCAAAAAAACTGACTGTCCGACGGCAATGACGTAATTAACAGCGCCTAAATAACGATCGGAGTAGTGTCCGAAAGTGTTGTGTTAATAATGTGAGTGAGCTCACTATATAGTGCTCTACATACAACTCCCTACATAGGGGGCTGCCCGAAATCGGTGTGTCCGAAGTGTGCTTCATTTCAATATATTTTTCAATGAAAATAAAAATAATGCTGAAAAAAATTTGCATCGCAAATCACATCGCAATTGCAATATCAGTCTAAATATAACATTCCATATTTTTTCAATATCGTTCAGCCCAACGGTCAACAAATTAAATGAAAAGAACAAACCCAACAGTGTATTACTGTTTTAATAGTTTTCGGAGGCACAGAGGAATAAGATTTATCAGGCTTTGATAAAGACACAGTACTTGTTAGTAGATACAGTCACAGTGGGCTTTTGTGCTTTCATGTGACTTGTTGAGAAGAAGAAAAATATAGAATATCACCAGCGAACTCTAATTAAGTAAAATATAATAAGTGGGATGCAATCGTAGGCGTTACAGATGAAAACTTGTACACGCCTCACCTCTTTTCTGGACCCAGCCTTCCTTGACGACGTTCTGGTCGCTCATGGTGGCTTCTCCTCGTCACCAGCTCTCCCAGTGTGGTGACGCTGAAAGGGCAGTTGTCAGGGGTAGGGGGGTAGCGGGACAGTTTGTTCGGCTGAAGCTCAGTCAGCCTCCCGTCTGACCGCTTGACCTCCGACCTCCACCCTAACTCCAACCTACCTGCGCCCCCTCTCGCCTGACTTCAGATCTGTCAACTTGTTCTCCACTGGGCTGTATGACCCTATATTGTCTCTCTATCGTTCTCTTTCTTTCACTTTCTCTTTCCTGCTCTCGCCCTGCCGACCCACCCTGACTTTCTCTTGCTGTCTTCCTTCTCTCTCTCCCCTCCTAGTCTTCCTCACCTCTTTTAGTTGTTTTTTTTTTCCTCCCCTCTTTCTCTCCCTCCCTCCTTCTCACTCTCTGCTTCTCAGTTCTCTTCAAACTTCTTCTTCTTCTTCTTCTTCTTCCTCTGTGTTCAGGCGCTCCAGCGGTGAGTCAGCCTGGAAGGAAACAGAGGCAGAGAAATGAGAAGGCAGAAAAAAAAAAAAAAACAACAGAGCAGGTCAGTGAATAGTTTCCTTCGCACAGCAAACACAACAGGCCGCCACTTATTGTTCAGAGCCTTAACACACTTCCTGCCTCCTTACCTCCTTCTCCCCTCCTTCCTTGGTTCCCTGTCATCTTCACTAACTCCTTCTTTTCCTTCCTATTCATTCCAGTCTGTACTCACTTCTCCAATATTTTTTTTTTACCCTCCCTTCTATCTCCTTCCTTCTTGAGCTCCCTCTTTTACCGGGCCCTACTTTCCTTCCCTTCTCTCCTTCCCCATTTTCCTTGCCTCCTCTTGTCAGTCACCCCCTCGCATCTTCTTTTCATCCTCCCCTTCGTTTGTTCATTCCCTTCCTCACTAACTCCTTCTCCCTCTTGCATTGACCTAAACTTTTTACCTCCTCTTTCGCTTCCTTCCTTCTTTCTCACCTTCGTTCACTGCCCCCCTTTCCCTCTTTCCCCTTTCTTCATCACAGAACTCTCACCTCCATCCTTCCTTCCTTTTCCCATACCTCCATCACCAGTTACTACTCTGCTTCCCTCTCCACGTTCTCTCATTCCTTTATCTCACCTTCTCCATTTTCCTAGCCTCCTCACATCCCCTTCTCCCTCTCTCCTTCCTTTGTCCTCTCTACCTTTTCACTATCTCCTTCTCTACCTGCATCCTTCTTCCTTCCTTCTCTCCATCAGTCCTTCCCTAACCACTTCTCCCCAAACTCTTTATACCTCCTCTTCTCCTTCCATCGCTCCCCGACTGGGTCCATATCCTCTTTCCATACATCCGTTAGGCCTATTTCCTTCATTCCCTTTCGTCGTCCCTCATTTTCTTCTTCCTAACAAAAGTCCAGTACCTCCTTCACCTCCCTCTCTCTCCTCTTCCATCCATCCTTCTTCACCAACTCCTTTCTCCTCTTCCCTTTTGATGCCAGCCTCCACTTCTTTTCCTGTTCCACTTGTTTGTTTTATTCAATTACAAATTCCAGCATTTCACTCAAATGATTTGCTGCTTTCCATTTTCATAGGACAGTAAATAAAATATTTTTGGGTTTTATGCGGTTGACCAGAAGGTCACGTCACGTCACTTTGGGCTACAAGAATCAACCAATAAATTGAGAAACTAATCTGCAGTGATAATGAAAATAATCGTAAGTTGCAGATTTTGTATATAGTGTCCTATCGTCCAGTCCTCTCATAGCCATATCTTAGCTATTAGTGATTATCACTTCTTCCTTGAGTGTTTTTGACCAAAGCTCCACCACCCACAAATACAACAGGTGTCAAGAGACACAGTGAGAGAGAGATTTGCATAATTTCCAAAGCGCAGACAACAGAACAGTAACACTGTACTTGGGGCCTATTTTCCCAAATTTGCAACATACAGGCGGTGATTTGCAACATGAGACCTTTCCTTGTGTTATGTTTCATTAATGAAAATAAATGCCGTATATGCAACCCATGCAAGAGCTTTGTAGGACTTGCAAGCGTGACACTCAATTTTTCATTTTTTTTTTTTCATTTTTCAAAACCACTTTTGTGAAACAGACCAGAGGAAATTCCAAGAAGAGCTCTCATAATTGTTTCTTTCATTTCCCCTGGACACAAACGAGCTACTTTTAATACTAAGGTGAGACCAAAGGTTTTTTCTCCTACTTCTCAAATTCAAATTATACTGCATTTCCAGCTCTATATTGTAGTTCTGTGACTCAGCATCTGTCATAAACAAGCTCTCGATGCTTCTGTTTCTTTGAGACCCAGCCCCCTCTCAAAGCCCACTGTCTTCTGATTGGCCATTGTCTAATGTGTTTACCAGGTTGCTGCAGGGACAGGTCTGCATGTTCCTTCGAGGGCGTGGCCAGCATTCTCTGCCTGGAGCAAATGACCATATTTGGAAATCCGGCTCGGAATGACATCATACCGAGCCGTTAGTAGAAAAAACAGTTCAAAACAGAGTGTTCGGGATCAGGGGGATATCTGAGGTTTTGGCTCGCAGGGATTTCTTTTTAATACTTTTACCTCATCATTTGAAACTTTGGTCATGTTTAATATGAACATCTGATATTGTAACATTATAGAAATGCTAGAAAATATGAATAAACATAATAGGTCCCCTTTAAATATGTGTAATTTAAGTCTCCTGAATGTGGATCAGAAAATACTTAACTTGTATAAATGTTCAGGTACTTGCACTTGAGTATTTTCATTTTAGGGGGCTTTAAACTTTTAATCATTAATATATTTAAATATTAATTAATTAAGCTTGAACAAACACAAGAACTGAGATACTATCATACAGAATGAGCACTTTTACTTTTGATACTTTAGTACATTCACTATTGAATACTTAAATACCTTTACTTGAGGAGAAGTTTGAGGACTTTTATGGTAAATATGGTATTTCTTCTTTTCTTAAGTACAGGAACAATGTATTATTGTCAAAGACAATATTTACTTTCGGTACATGTTGGATGGTCCAGTGGCAGAGCTGTTACCCTTACAACAGAAGGTCCTGGGTTCAAATCCTGTTTAAGGCGTGTCGTTTTCTTCTCCTAATGACAAAAAAATTGCCATTAATGAGACTGTGAAAAGTAACAATTATGCCTCCTGCTGCTAAACGCTCTCTCTCAAGTATTTTTCCTTGTGAATTTTAGGAGTAGCATATGAGAAACAGGTTGGACCACACTGAAACTAAAATTAGGCTGAAATGAAAATCACAATGTTGTTTCCTGAGCTGTAGAAAAGCCACCATTGAGCAATAAAATTTCCTCTGGGAGTCCCCTTAAACGCTCTGGGGGAATCCCTACACCTGACCTTCTTTGTCCGCTTCCTCCCTCATCTGTTGTCACACCTCCCCTTGTTCTCTCCTCTCCTTCATCCCTTATTTCCATTCCTTTACTCCCAAACGTTCCCTTTGCCCTCACTTCACCCCTCCTTCTATCTATCATGTCTTCAGGTCTGCCTGTCTATCAGCTGACCACCCAGCACAGACCAGCAGGTGAACAGCAGACAGACTCTGAACACACCTGTTTTACAGCAGCAGTTCTCCTAAAACCATATTAAGATCACACATTAAAGCCAATGACTCCTGAATTGACGCACAGACTCCAGTGATGCACGATATAAAGCATCATATCTCGGTTTCCTGCCAGGGACTGACTTTTACTGTGAAGCAGTAGCAGGAATTTACAAGACAGCTAGCTTATTGCTTGTTCAACATTTGTCCTACATCTAGAAGGACCTATAAAAATAAATATTTGTTTTTAATGGAGGCCTGTGACCTCAGTCTGGGAACCAGTGTCCAAAAATAAACAATAAAGTTATAAATAAATCACATATATTCCTAATGCTTGCACAGCCACTGGACAATGCATTTCCATTTCCCACTATTCAACTCATACTGTAGTTTCAGACCATCAATAAGCTGCAGACCAAACGCGCTGAAAGATTTGTAGCTGAAACATACTTGAGACTTTTCTACAGTACCAGATGACCCATTTAAAAGATATGAGTTGCAGGCTTTGTACCCAAACCAACGAGCTAGGACATTAATCACATACATTTTCTGTTTAGGCCTCTCTTACATATACAGTAATTGAACAAATGTATAATCTGTTGCTTTGTTCCAGCTGACAAACCAAAAACTGAAATACTGAGACAGAAGCGCATATGTCAATACTTCACATGTCTTAACTTGAACTGCTTCTTTCTAGTAGTTTTGTCCTTCGGTCTCAGTTTATGGCTGGAACTGTTACCAAATTTTCCAAGAGCCATGGATTCATTAAGACCCGTGCGTTTGGATTCTACATATCGGTTCCTAATGTTTTGCATATTTCAGTGGCGCTCCCGATTGAACTGCAGTGAGCATTTTACAGTCCATCAAAGTGTCTCATATCTGCCAGGAGCTGCTACGCCGACCTAATGTCACCTCATTTGTTACGCAGTACGTCAACAAAGCATGAAGAAGAGAGTCCTTCTGTTTCCATTCCTGGCCTCCAAAGTTTGGCTTAGCTTCACTTAAAAAAGAGGATGATACAGCAAAATGCAAGCAGCTTTGGCGCGAGATAGGAAGCAGCTCCAACATGACGAAGCATTTACTTCAACACGGCGTGAATCTGAAGGAACGCACCGCATTGAACGTGCCGCCCTCTCCCAGCTACAATGACGCCCCAGACCCAGCTATCCCTAACAGTAGCAACGTCTCAGGTACAAAACACAGGTGAGCTGACGTTCACCTTTTATACTGAAGGGAAACCAATGATGGCTACAAATGAGTCCCCAGAGACGCCCCTCTTGGACAGAGACTCCTTTCACTTTAGCTATGAAGGGAAAGATGAGCAAGGAAGAGGATGAAGGTCACCGAGCGCTGACTAGATCTGTGGTAAAGGAACCAGAACCCAGATTCAATATGAACTGGATTCGATAAAATTTCAACAATATACAACCCTAATTAAATACAGTATGTTCTACCGTTATGCATCACATGAGACCAAACTCTTCACATGTGTTAACCAAGAACTGAAATAATACATTTTGTCAGATTTAACATACAGATTTTTCAGGATCATTATCTTGGGACAACAGATCTGTAAACAATAACATGTTAAAATCACATCGTCGAAATATGATTCTGTTCAAACTCGATAAACAATCTAATATCATCGCTGAGCAAAATACAGTGACAAGGCGTTTAAATTTTTAAAGTTTAGTCTCACCATCACAATGATAATTCATAAATGATTTTCTTGTAATATATCACATATCACATAATTGCCTATGTAAGTCCAACTCCTACCAAAAATGCCTTGCCTGCATGATTTTAGAGGTAAATGTTTCCTGTTCAGTCTCTCCAATACCATGGTGATTCACAAATAATTTTCTTGCAATATATCATAAATCACACACATAAAACTTCAATTAATAGCCCTGGCTTTTATTTGCTTAAATCACTGATTTACACCTACATTTGGGACAGACTTTAAATTAATTTACCATGCCAGTAAATTTCAATGAATAATACTTTGGTGCTCAATGATTTTATTAAATGAACTGAACTATTGAATTGCGGAGAATCTAACGATGTGTAGCATGTCCATATTGACAAAAGTTTAAACATTTATATTGATATGCGCAATCTAATGAGCTTATAGCTTAAGTGGGCGATCTGGTGGGCTTCAAGATGTTTTCTACATCCAGAGAACTTCTCTAAAAACCAGACCAGGCTTCTAATTGAGACCTGGGTTTATTTCTCAAAATGTGTAGCCACACCAGCCCAGTGAAAGGGACAGGCGTCTTATTGGGACTAGGCTTTTAATTGACAGTAATTGCCTATATAATGTCAATAAGTCCCACTCTTACTAGTATTTTACAAGGAATTTAAGTTTTTACAGTAATAAAACTAGATTTTTTTGATAACAAGTCAAACTAATTTTTCTCCCCCATACATTTAACCATCTGCTAATGGCTAGCCTTTCCTGTATAATTTAATACATCATGGATAATAACCACCTTCTCCATATTGACTAAATCATAATTTGACATTTATGCACCAAGCTGTAGTAATATAAAGATGCTGGAAAATGTTTTTGGTGGAAGACTAGCTATGTTTCCTTCAATGCACAGGGACACACACACAACCACACCGTCAATGGGGAGATCCAAGGCTGGAAAACAAATGTGAGCCCTCCAATGACAACAAAAACAATGGCTGACAGGAGCAGCCGTTGTGTTTCAGAAGCCGGCTCAGAGGTGCTGCGGCCCTCGGTACCACACAAAACACCCCGCCGCCTCTGATTTATCGGGCCATGATTCGGGGTCCTGCACCGCGCACACACAAACAAACAAATACTGAAACAACAGCTTTTGTTTCAAGGGCGTGTGGTGTCATTATCTGTTACATAACAACATCCGCTCGGCGTGCTCCTTTTTATTTTAATGGGCGAGACGCGAATAAATAAATGTCTGGCAGACTCTTCAGTGCCGACTAGTTTACTGTTTGAGACGATAAAATATTTGGCTCCCACGGTGTGAAACGGCTGGGAGACGGGTTGTGTACGCCAGGCTGGCCTTGTGATGGCCCGGCTGGAGGATGCGAACTAGCCAGGGATGCTAGCGGGGTGGAGAGGAGGAGGAAGGATGGAGGGAGGGAGGGTGATGCTACCGCTAATGTTAGCCGGCTAGCTTAGCTGGCTGACTCGCATAGCAAGCTAACAAACTGACAGTCGTTGGAGCCGTTTGACGTGGTGTTATTTTAGCATCTGTGGTTTTCTTTAACGTTATTCATCTCGGACAAGAGACGCGACGCTGTTTTTAAAGGGATGGGGAGACATGGGAGATGGGGGGAGGAGGGGTAGGAGGAAGAGAGGGGCGGGGAGGTTGGGGTGGGGTGGGGGGTGTCGTTCATCACGGAGATGGGCCGAGGCCAGACGGACGGTACCGTTATCATTACAAGCCCTCCTCCCCTCCCTTCTGCAGCAGCATCCCGGCGCCGCATCCCCTTCCAGACTGGCGAATGACGAAGCAGCAGCAGTCCAGCTAACAGCAGCTAACTAGCTAACATGCTAACCTCCGCTCCCACCCCGCTCCGGGCTTCGACACAAACCCGCTCACCGTGCCCCCAAAACGGCGAACCCAACCGCCGCTTCCCTCCTCCCTCCTCCTCTCCCTGCTTCCACACGCACAGCTTCCACTTCTACCCACAACACGTTGTGCCATATTAGAATAATAATAATTTCACCTGGTAGTCGAAGAATGATAGGGAAGCCCCCCTCCTCTTCCTCCTCCTCCTCCACCTCCTCCCCTCCTCCTCTATGGGCACTGGAGCATCCAACGGAGTAACGTCCGTCAGTGGTGAAAGCAGGAGGAGGACAGCGATGGATCCATAGCCGCTGATGTCCAGGCCGAGGAAGCCGAAAAGAGGAGGGTTTTTTTGTGTGTTTGTCCCAGACAGACAGAGACTGCGGCGGCGGCGACGGCAGACAGACACACGGACAGACAGACAGACCCGCTCGGCTCCTGCTCCCTCCGAAGCTCCGCCAGGAAACCTCGCTCCTCGGCTCCGAGTCGGCACGTCACGTTCAGCCAGATCTGACTGGGAGGACTCCTGCTGCCTTCAGGGGCTGTCGGAAATGTTCACACAGTGTCTCTCTCTCTCTCTCTCTCTCACACACACACACACAGTATAAATAAATTAGACTAAAATAAAATACATACTGATAAACAACAAGATAATAAATTATTATTAAATGTATAAGAAAGCATAAAGTACCCTAGCTCTAACTGTGAGCCTGTGAACTGTGTAAAGAGTCCTGAATAAAGTATCTCCATTAGGGCTGCAACTACAAGTTCACTGTCACTATCAATTATATGATATGTAATCTGATATTTTCATTATTACTATGTGTGAAATAGTGAAAACGGATACTCTCTTACTCTCAGAACTGATTCAATTTGCTTGTTTTGTCCAACCAACAGTCCAAACCCTAAAGATTTACATTCACTCATTTGGCCGATGATTTTATCCAAAGCGATTTCAATCCAAGAGAATTGTAAGGGGATAGAAGAAGAAGAGCACAGGAAGTGCAAGTAGGAGGTTAGGGGTTGGAGTTGTTATGAGAGGAAGTGTTTTCGGAAGAGAGCTTCTTGAAGTCAGAGAGGGACGCCCCTGCTCTGATGGCATGTGGCAGCTTGTTTCACCATCGTGGTGTATATATATTCACTTTATTATCATATAGGAGAAGTAACAACAGCAAACACTTGCAAAGCTGAAACCAGAGACTGTTTTGGTACTTTTGCTTAAAAAAATGACCAAAAGGATTAACCAAAACAATCCAACATTTTTATGGACAAATTTTAAGCCTTGTCAGACGTCAGACAGTTTCAGAGTTTAGTCCACCCTTGCGATGCTGGTGTATTTACAAACTGCAAGTAGTTCTACATCTACTTGTGATTAACAAATTCCTTGACTGTCTAGAAATAAACAAAGCTGAGGATTTGAAAATGCATGCGGCACAGAGATAACATGTATAGGTTGTCAAAACTATGGTTAGATGGTCTAAAACATGCCCGTCTTACTGTCCAAAAAACACTTGAGGATGCAGGTGACTTAAAATTTTGATTTTTTAAAAAAGAAATAAAGATTTCTGCTTTAAGTTGAAGAAGAATATCAAACCTGCTAAAACTTGATACTGAGAATAGATCATGTTCGTGGATTTGACAGCATGGACAGCGCTGTTAGTTCTGCCTGAAGGTTGTCATGTCTTGTGCAGGACTGAAATGAGGAAATTACTACATACTGTACACATGAAAATGCCCGTAGTAATACTTTTTTAACCCAGTTGGTTTCACATCACAATATGACTTGCTGTATCATGACATTTTGATGAGCTACAACTAATTATTATTTTTAGTAATCTCTTGAGAGTAAAAGCTCATTCTTGACCTTGGGAAAACAGTATAGTTTGACTTTTTCAAATTATTTTTCCAGTTAATTGATTTGTTGTTTAGCCTACAGCATGTGAGAAAATAGTAAAAATATTACCATCACAGTCCCCCAGAGTCAAATTTATTGAAATTATTTGTTTAGTCAGACAAAAAACCAAAGACATTAAATTTACAAGAGAAGATATAAAAGAGAGAAAAGCAAGAAATCCTCGCATTTGAGAAGCTGTTAGGATTTTTTGCCTGAAAATTGCGATCAATCTTATTAAAATAATTGTAGATTTATTTTCTGTTGATCATTTAATTGATTGACTAATCATTTGAGCTCTATGTATTTACTATTACTAATATTTACGATTTGTCTCTTACCATGTCTGAGTCTGTGGATGTTCTTGTACTTTACGAGGAGTACCTGAATGCAGCATCTCTCTCCTCATGGCATCCAGGGCTTTTGTTGGTCCCCAGCTTTTGTTGTCTCTCTCTCTCTCTCTCTCTCTCTCTCTGTGCTGGATTTATGTGTCCAGATTCCGTTCAGTTATAATTCTCCCCCCTCTCGTCCACAGCACAGATATCAGGTCTTCTTATTTATCCACTGGAGTAACTCTCAAACCAACCATGTGGTTATTTTGTACAAGTTTTTCCCCCCTGAGTTTTATACTGTCATTAATTTACTCAGGTTTAAATGTATAGCACCCCCCTCCAACCTCTATCCATCCCTCCCTCCCGAGCCTTGCTGTGAATGGATGCTTTGTTTGAGGACCCTGGTCCCAGTCTGGCTGCAGGCCTACATAGCTGCTGCTGCTTTGCATTAATCAATTACAGTCTGTAAAATAACAATTCAGTCCACACTATCAAATGAGACAGTTTGTGGATATTGTTCAGAGGTGTCAATTACTAATTACAAACAAACTATACAAAAGCAACAAAAAAATGTAATTCAGTAATATACAACGGGAAACAATACCATTAAAATGTTTCCAACTTTAATTAATCATCTTTAGATATTGTTGCTTATAATTTGCTTATTACAGCTTCAGGTTTTTGTATGTATTAATTACTTTCTGTTTTATCTTTTTTTTTTTTTTTTTATAAATTTTGTGTTTTTGTGTGCTGTTCAGACAGAAGAAGCACTTTAAAGTAAAACCCATAAGGCTCTAATAGCCTGATGTGATGAGCATTTGTTTTTTATTTCATAGACTGTAAAATAACATAAATTAAAAAAATATATTGATATAGTTTTTTGGATGTGGAGATTGAGCCATAATTGGCGTCCACCTTTTGCCACTCTTGAGAAGACCCATTTAATTATATATATTATCAATGCCAGGAAGTGCGGGCGGAAACATACAGCGAGAGTTAAGAACTATCTTATAAAGAAGAAGTGATGGTGTGGCCCCCGACAGGACCCTGATCTCAACATCATCGAGTCTGCCTGGGATTACATGAAGAGAGAGAAGCAGAAGAACTGTGGGGAGTTCTCTCCGAGCTGTTTGGGCCAACATACCTGCCGAGTTCATTCGAAAAACTAAGTGCAAGTGTACCTAGAAGAATTTATCCTGTTTTGAAGGCAAACAGTGGTCACACCAAATATTGATTTGACTTAGATTTTTCTTCTGTTCACTCACTTTGCATTTTGTTAATTGATAAATATAATCTAGTGTTTCTACTTTATAGCATTTTCCCACATTTGCCTAAAACCTTCGCACAGTGCTGTATATAAAAACCAAATAAAAATGTTCCCTTCTCACCACTGGTGGGGTGGTGTGTGTCATCTTCATGCTCGGATCCTCTACCAGAGGCCTGGGAGTTTGAGGGTTCTGTGCAGGATCTTAGCTGTTCCTAGGACTGAGCCACTCTCCCAGTTTGGGGATCACGACCCCCAGTGCTCCGATTACCACTAGCACTACTGTTGCTTTTACTCTCCACATCTTTTCTTGCTCCTCTTTCAGCCTTTGGTATTTTTCAAGCTTCTTGTGTTATTTGAACAGTATATACACACTGTATAACCTTTATTTACACTCAGAAAAATAAAAACAAATTGAGGAACAGGAGCTCATGTGTGCCAGATTTACATTATAAAAACAAATAATATAAAAATTAATAAAACCAACCACTAAAAAAGTAACAATAAGCATTACAGTAAGAAATAAAAAGCGTTTATCATCTAGGGAGCATGAACGTCTGCACATTATGTCATCATGTCTTTCACTGATGATTTTGAATTACAGAAACATGACTTTTTTCCTTCTCTAATGTCCATATTCTAAAATAAATGATAATAATGATAATAATATGTATTTTAACGGCACTTTTCAAATCAAAGTTACAAACTGCTTTACATGGTTAAAATATTTAAGGACTGCAAAGACGACGAATAGAAAAATAACAAATTGAATGATGATGTAATGGAATAAAAGACATAATGATACAACAACAATACAAATAACAATAAAACAGACATTTGGCAATTAAAAAAGTGCGCTAGTGTTCATAAAAACCTTCGAGAAGTGATTTAAACGCTGTCACTGATTCTGCAGCCTCAGATCTTAAGCCAGGGAGTTCAGACCTGACTGCAAAAGCCCGGTCACCTTTAGTCTTGAGCCGGGACAGAGAACAGCCAGCAGAGCCCAGCCTGAGGTTCTGAGGCTGTCACACAGTGGATAAAAGGTTTTCAATACGGATTACGGACATTATGATAATATTACTTATTATGTGTTGCGTCCATTGAGTCCTACAGTAACCAAAGTAGCTGTGTGTGTGTGTGTGTGTGTGTGTGTGTGTGTGTGTGGTTACCAGTATCAGTTTGCTTTGTTGTCAGCGTGCAGTGTTGGGTTTCTCTGTCCTCGTTCTCCTGCAGGGATGTAGAGAACAGAATAAAACACTAATATATAAAAGAGAAGAGGACGCGGTAACTGCTGACGAAATAAAGTGGAACAGATTCGAGTACAGCAGAGCGATCCTCCAGTTTCCAAATAAGACTCCAACTGACTCCAGGTCAGCAACTCTTCTGCAGGTAATTCTGCTGCTGATGGTTTTTCAAACTAATAAAGGGAGGTGGGACTTTAGACCAGAAATTGTAAATGGCTTTTGTCACATTTACAGTAGGCACACTGAGGCTTAAATACTGTGTGTCATTATTTTAAAATTTGTGTTTTCTTCTGGTGTTTAACAGCGTTGGAACTAGTATTCAGATCCATAAAGCAAAAGTACTAATACACTGTTATACTAGTACACATTCTATCATCACATTATTATTACTCAGATTTTACTTCTGTAGTTGTCAACTGGAGCTAATTTTCAACTATTTTGTATCAGACTGCAGCTAATGCTTATTTTCATTATGAATAAATCTGCTGATTATGGTTTCCATAGATTGAATGATTGTCTAAACTTTGTTTTGTCCAACCAACACTTGAAACTACTATTAACATACGGAATTACCAGGAAAAGTAGAAAGTCCTCAAATTTATTTATTTATTTATTTAATTTAAAGGGACAGTACATTTCAATGAAGATATTAGCTTTTCAGCAATGTAAATGTGCTAGAATTAGCCCGAAGGCTATTTGATGGAGGATGGAACCAAATGTTTAGCTTTTTTCCATGAAAAAGACTTAAACCATTATCAAAATAATTAATAATAATGAATGTTCTGTCAATAAACTAATCAGTTAATCAAGTCATTGTTTTAGCTTACTTATATAAACTGCCATATAAACTCCTGTTGTGTTTTGT